GTGAGATGAAAGTTTCAAGGTCTTAAATTCATCTGTGTCCCTTCACATTTTGGGAAACCCACTTTTGATATGTGAGCCAAAGCCATAGTTAAAAAAAAAAAACACAAAAACTCTTGCAAACATAAATCTGATGATGTTTCTCACCTGCTTAAAATCCTCCATAGGCTTCCCACTGCACTGAGAATCAGATCCAAATTCCTTACCATGGGCTTTCAAGATCCAATCCCTCCACACTTCTACAGTTGGTCTCATAACCCATGCTCCAGGCACACTGGCTTCCCATCAAGTATTTCAACATAACTGTTCCCACCTCTGGGCCTTTGAATGTGGTGTTCCTTTGTGTGGAGTATCTTTCCTCAACTCCTATTGAGGTCTTTTTAAAACAATCCTACATGAGGTCTTTTTTAAACAATCATTTTGTAACTGTGAAGTAGTTGATATATACAGGAAAATATATATAATCCTGATGTAAGATTGCAAGTATGACAAAATAAAGAAACCAACCCCTTCCTTAAGAAATAGAGCACTATCAATACCATTGAAGTGTTCTATGTTTCTTCTTTCTTTTTCTTATTCCAACAGTACCCTATATAATATCCAAAATCTATTATCATTTCCTCCTAATATTTATTAATATACATTGTATGTGTATAAATCTCTGAAAAACATTTTTACAAGTTTTATTGGTTTTGACCTTTATAAAATATCAGGCTGTATATATTCTGAATCTTGCTTTTTCTACTTGGCATTTATCCTATCATTTAACAAATATTCATAGAGCGTCTACTAGTGGCCAGATGCTCTTAAGCATTTGGGAGACATGGAGGAATAAAACTGACAAAAATCTGTCATTGTGGAGGTTACTTTCTAGACAGACAATAAAAAGTAAAACATAAAATGTACATTGCGTAATTTGTAAGATGATGATAAGCAATATGGAAATAGAGCAGGATATGGGGAATTGGAGGTGCCAAGGAAATGAGAAAGTGTTGCAATTTTTAAATATGGAAGTCAGGAGAAGCATAGTTGAAAAAGTAACATGAGCAAATACTTGAAGGAGGTGAGGGAATTGCCCATGCAGGTAATTCTTCAGCCTGGGTCCTGTAATGATGAAGTCTTGGAATGATGACACAGAGCAGAGATGCAGCCAGTCCACAATGAATAAGAAACTTAAGTGAGATATAAGCTTTTGTTTTTATTCTATTTGTATTTATTTATTTTTGTGGTACTGGGGATTGAACCCAGAGGCACCTCTACCATTGAACTACATCCCCAGTCCTCTTTAGTTTATTCTGAGACAGGGTCTTGCTAAGTTGCCCAGGCTAGCCTTGAACTTGTGATCCTCCTGCCTCAGCCTCCCAAGTTGCTGGATGTGTGCCACTGCACCCAGCTAAGCTTTTGCTTTTATAAGCTGCTGATATTTGGGGGTTATCTGTAACCTCAGTATAATGTAGCCTATCCTGAATGATACAAAGAAATATGGGTTTTTTTGTTTGCTTGTTTGCCGTGCTAGGGATCAAACCCAGTCTTGAGCATGCTAGGGCAAATGTTCTAGCACTGAACTGCATTCCCAGCCCTTAACACAAAGAAATGAAAAGCTATGAGACTATATGAAATCTCTAGGGAGTAAGTGTAGATGGATAAGAATGCCCCAGAGGAGACAAGGACAGGAGTGGCCAGTGAGATGGGAGATAAACTAGGAGATGTGGTCTTCCTAAAAGCCAAGTAAAGAAAATGCTTTTGGAGGAGAGTGATCAATTGATGATGGATTAAGTAAAATGAGGACTGAGATTTGACTGATGTAGTAACATGAAGGTTGCTGATGACCTTGACAAGAACATCTTTGGTGGAATATAGGGATGAAAGCCCAATTGAAGTGGGTTCAAGAAACTAGGACCCTGCAAGACAAACAACTCAGTTAAGGATTTTTTTTTTTTAATTGCAAGAGAAAAAGAGGAACTTAGAGATTGAGAGATTTCATATGTGCAGGTGGGAAAGTTTCTCGTGCGTACGTGTGTGTGTGTGTGTGTGTGTGCGTGTGCGTGTATATGAGAGAGAGAGAGAGAGAGAGAGAGAGAAACAGGAAAGAAAGTGCTAGGTTGTAGAATGTATGCATATTTAACTTCATAGGATAATACTAAGTTAATTCCCAAGGAGATTATACCACTTTACACTATGACAATAATGTACAAAAACTCCAGTCAGTGTACATCCTAACCAACACTTGGTATTGCAGACTTAATTTTTTTTAGTTTGTGGGTATAAAACTATAATTACTGACTTTAATTGAAATTTTATTTATTGCTAATGTGGGTTTCATATCTTTTCACGTGTTTAACCATCTTTGCTTCTCTGTGAAGTGCCAATTCATATCTTTTGTTCATTTAATTTTTGCATTTTTAAGAATTTATTTTTAAATGATACATAAAAATATAAAGATTATACATATTTTGGGGGTATCATGTGATGTTTTAATATAAATATACATTATCTCATGTTCAAATCAGAGTAAACATAGCTATCTTCTTAAACGTTTATCATTTCTTATGGTGAAAATATTCAAAACCCTTTCTTCTATCTTTTTGAAATATACAGTACTTTATTGTCATTTATAGGCACCATATTTTTGTTTACTTTTTTTCCACAGTCATTGTTTTTAAAAAATCAGGCCAGTGTCGTGGCACAAGCCTATAATCCCAGCAGCTTGGGAGGTGGAGGCAAAGGATCATGAGTTCAAAGCCAGCCTCAGCAATTTAGCAAAGTGTTAAGCAATTCAGTGAGACCCTGTCTCTAATAAACTACAAAATAGGGCTGCTACCTCCCCGCCCAAAACAAAATCAGGTTTGTCAGCTGGGTGTGGTGGCACACGCCTATAATCCTACTGACTCAGGAGGCTGAGGCAGGAGGATCACAAGTTCTAGGCCAGCCATGGCAGTTGAGTGAGAACCTGTCTCAAAATAAATAAAAAAGGGCTAGGGATGTAGATTCAGTGGTAGAGTGCCCTTGAATTCAATCCCCAGCACTGCAGAAATAAATAAACAACAAGCAAATAAATAAATAAATGTGGTAAATATCTCCAAATTTGTGATTTTTTTATTTGCTTATTATTTTAAAGTAATTTTTTTGGGGGGGGTACCAGGGATTGAACTCAGGGGCACTCGGCCACTGAGCCACATCCCCAGCCCTATTTTGTATTTTTTAATTTTAATTTAGAGACAGGGTCACACTGAGTTGCTTTGCGCCTCGACTTTGCTGAGGCTGGCTTTGAACTCCTGATCCTCCTGTCTCAGCCTCCCAAGCCACTGGGAATACAGCTGTGCGCCACCAATAACAAAATGAACACTTCCATGGAACTCAGAAAATGTTATCAATATTTTAGAGGCTTTCTCTGTGTACTTACCCATCTTTTCACTTCTTTATGGTGAATATTAGTGAATGTGAATGTAGTCACGTTTACCCTTTTTTTATCCTTTGAACTTAGTGGTTATTATTTTTTAAAATTCCTTCCTATCCAGAGATCATAAAGGTATTTTCCTACATGTTCTTCTAAAATTTCTAAAGTTTTACCTTTCTCACTTGTTTTAACCCAGGGTTTGATCCCCAGCACTGAAAAAAAAGAAAAAAGAAGAAAGGAACAATAATTCTCTCCTTCTCTGTGAATAATATGAAATAGCTGTCCTTGTTCATCTTATCCCCTCTGTCTGATTGTGACTTTTTCTTCCAAGTGAACTTCATTTATGGGTCTCCTACTTGATTGTAGGATTCTCACTTTTCTGGACTTGTCCTGAGGAAGAGTCTTGTCTTTAGGACTCTTCCCAGCCTTCAGACATAATTTTAAAAATAGTTACAGGAGTGGCTACAGCAACCACCAGATCCTTTCCACATCTGAGAATGGCACCAACCCCAGCCTACCAGTTCCATCTGCCACCATAATGTAAGGTCACTGACCAGGAAGATTCAGTAGGCATTTTAAGCTTCTTGTATTGCTAAGGCCATGACCTTAGTAATGAATAGGTATAAGGTGACAGATTATAGAGGGATGAAAAGTTGGTGAGGAGGGATTGAAAAGGTGGGGAAGCTGAGTGGAGAGTGTCAGAGGTGCAGAGGAGGAAAAGGAAGGAAGGTAACAAGGGAGTGGGGAGGTAGAAGTCAGAGAACCAAGAGGAAAGAGGAAGAGGGAAAGAAAGGGAAGGTGGCAGAGGGGTATGCAGCAGTGGAAATGGCATGGGGGAGAGACATGAAGGGAAGAAGGATGCAGGTGCAGAGCACTGCCTTAGGTACCCTGGCCTCTGGGATTTCTCAGTAAAGAATCGCAATTTTGAAGCTCCTAGTTGGATTTGGGTCCAAGTCTGCTCTTGGGTTACAGCGGCAGTTTCTGAGCTCGCTTGGAGAAACAGGAAAGAAGGACATGGGTAAATCTGAGGCCACAGCCTTCCCCAGTTTGTATCCCTGTCTCCTGGTGAACCCCGTCCCCCTTAACTCTACATCTATTTTGCAATCTCACCTCACCATCAGCGAAATCTGAGCACACCTAAACAATGAATCCTCTCACTGGCTCCTTCCTTCCCGTTCAGCCCTCTGCTCCACGGAGTCCTTCCAATTCTTGACCCTGTCGTTGTCTAAGCCTTCAGGCTTTCTAGACTAAATGAAGCCACAGCAGAATTCCCACCTTTCACTTGCCCTTGGGGGGCATAACCTTGCTGTGACTTCTGACTTGTCTCGGCAAGCGTAGGTTCAGGTCCTGCCTGCCTTCTCGGATCCCAAAAGCTGCTCTGAGTCCTCCTGGCACCAACTTCTCTACAACTTAGTCCGCTGCAGCAGCGGTTTGTGGTTGCCACGCAACAAGAAAGAGGGGCGGGCCCAAATCCTAGCTCGAGCCTGGGCAACGGATCAACAAACCTCCACGTCAGACCGAAGTTCCCGCCCCTAGTTCCCACTCGCGCAGGAAGCCGGATATCCCGTTGGCCTGGGCTTACTCTCGCGAGGTTTACCTTCCGCCCGGCCTGCACTGCGGCGTTTCCCGCGCGGGTAACCTCGGTTCCCGGGCTTACGGCGCGGCCTCTCCTACCGCCGCTGGAGCCGCCGCCGACATGGGTTTCCTGAAACTGATTGAGATCGAGAACTTTAAATCGTACAAGGGTCGACAGATTATCGGACCATTTCAGAGGTTCACCGCCATCATTGGACCCAATGGCTCTGGTGAGATAAACCCGGCTGCGGCCCTGCGCACGTCCCGGCCTGGACCCCCCTATCCGACGCCAAAGTAGTACGACCCAGCCTATGTAACCTGAACCATTGTGAAGCCTAAAAGGTTCCTTGCCTCTCCTGACGGGGGGAGTTCGACTCTCCCCGCTCAGGTGTTCTCACTCGAGCCTCTTCCCCAGGTGTCAGTTGCGCGAGTTTTGTGCGGCCCCCGTTCCGGTCCTAGTGGTTCAGGCCGAACTGTGTGTTTCCGCGCCCACTGCCCCCTCCCGCCAAAAGAGGCGCGTCCGGAGGCAGCTGCCAGCTGTCGGCTTCCTGCTGCGCGGCTCCCTGCTGGTCTGTCTGGTTCTAGCTTCCCAGCCCTGTTTGACCCCTCCGTGAAATGTGGGACGGCATTTCGCTCTGTCGTGTCCTGCGGTCCCATACAGTACACTTATGCTTCAACCTAGCGCCCCCTCCCGCTTCTCATTGGTACGCTCCAATTCCTTCCTTTTTACTCGTCTCCAGAGGCGGCACTTTTGAATTTTGAACCCTGAGCCTGAGTCTTCAGAGGGCTTGGAGTCCCTAACCCGACCTCAGAAATTGTTGTGTAGAACTCCCCCCCTTTCCTACCGGAAACCACCAAAAGCCTGGTCTTATTTGCTTATCAAATTTGTTGAATGTTTTAATGTTTATAAGTTCAAATTGTGGAAATAGTGGAGAATAGAATAAACCAAGTCCATGCTTTCAGAGAACTTATATTCTAGAGGGGAAAGAAGATAAAGAATCAAGAAATAAGATAACTTTAGACTGGATAAATGTTGTGCAGGAAATGGGACAGGTTAATGTGTTGGAATGCCTTGGGTGGTGTCTTTAGAGTGGTCTGGTAAGACTTCTGTTTGGTATCTTAACTCCTCACTTTTAAATGATAACCCCATGGATTCCTCTCACCTACCCCCAGAAGTGATCCGTTTGGAATCCTGCTGTGTTCTTATACCCCAGAAATGTAGCGAATAATTTTCTAGCCTTTCTGTGAAATAGTTTTGCCTGGATTTGACTCTGCTTAGAGCAAAGTTTCTCAACATTGGCACTTCATTAAGATAATTCTCTGCTGTGGGAATAGTCCTGTTCATTGTAGGATGTTTGACAGCATCCATGGCTTCTCTCCACTAGATGACAGCATCCCCCACTCCTCAGATATGACCATCAAAAATGTCCTAGAGTTGGTTGGTCATGGTGGCAGATGCCCCTAATCCCAGCTACTTGGAAGGCTGAGGCAAGAGGATCACAACTTTGAGGCCAGCCTTGACAATTTTTTTTTTTTTTTACTGGGGAAAGAAGATAAAGAAGAAGGAAATAAGATAACTTTTGACTGTCATAAATGTTGTGCAAGAAATGGGACAGGTAGATGTGATAGAATGACTTGGATGGAGGAGGATCACAAGTTTGAGACCAACCTCAGCAATTAATGAGGCTCTAAGCAACTTATCGAGAACCTGTCTCAAAATAAAAAGGGCTGGGGTTGTAGCTCAGTGATAAAGCACTCCTGGCTGCAATCCCCAGCACCAGAAAAAAAATTACTTGAGACATTTTATCAGTATACAGCCCATATAATGTGTTACAGACATGCTTATGATATTGAGTGCTTGTAGAGGCTTTTGGCTGTGAGATGTTCTTGTCATCTCTAGAGATAATGGGAGAAGCCCAAAGGTTGGAAGTTGGTGCCTAAAAGATTGACACCTGGTTTGCATAATGTGTCAGGTAGTCCTGCGGTGATGAGGGAGACTGAACCGAGTCCAGACTTGTGTAGGATAGATGTGTCATTTATTGAATACCTGCTGTGTGTCAAGTACTTTATTGGGGCTCTTTCCATTTATTTTAAAACAAATTTGGTGCTGGAGATTGAACCCAGGGCCTCCCTCACCATTGCTAGGCAAACACTCTAACTACTGAGTTAAGTCCTAGGATTTTATGTGCAAATGGTGCTAGGTAAGTGCTGTACCACTGAGCTACATCCCCAGCCCTAGGGCATTTTACATTTAAATTGTCATGGTGACCCTAGGTGGGAGATATCATTTAATGGGGAGACTGAGGCACAGAGATTTAATAAATTTCCTATAGTTCTCAGCTGGGATCAGAGCCCATGCCTGCTATATTTTAAAGCATATGTTCCTGCCACTTCAACATAGAACCATGTGCCAATCATTTTTTTAAAAAACTTGTGAGTCATGGTTTTTCGTTTTTTTTTTTTTTTTTTTTCCCCAGGTGAGGGGATGGAATGTCAGCTAAAAGAGAGTGAAACTTGTGCTGAGGTATATAGCACACTAGTACAGTGCTTGCCTAGCACTTATGAGGCCCTGGGTGATACCCAGCACCACCCTGAAAAAGAAAAGAAAATGGGTGAAACTAAGATTAGAACCTTGCCTACATCTGTTGGATGAGAGCCCAAGCCTTATTTTTTTTTTTTTAAAGTGCTGAGGACTGAACCTAGGGCTTCTTTCATGCCAAGTTTGCAATCTGCCACTGAGCTGTACCCCCACCCTTCCCATGGTCTTAATATTGCTTCCATGAAAGGACCATTTTTATGGTTAGGTTGAGTGGTATTGGATATTGGATATTATGTCTTCAGTTCAGTCATATAACATGTTTGTGGAGAATCTTGAGGTAGAATTTATGGGAGTTAAACTACCTCTTCACCCTGTAACCCCAATGTAAACATCTTAATTCCTTTTTTTTTTGTACTGGGAATTGAAGCCAACGGTGCTTTACCACTGAGCTACATCTCCAGTCCTTTTTAAAATTTATTTTATTTTTTATTATTTTGGTACCAGGGATTGAACTCAGGGGCATTTAACCCACATCCCCAGCCCTTTTTTGTATTCTATTTAGAGACAGGGTCTCACTGAGTTTCTTAGGGCCTTGCTAAGTTGCTGAGGCTACCTTTGAACTCACAATCCTCCTGCCTTAGCCTCCTGAGCTGCTGGGATTACAGGCGTGTGCCACCCCATGCCCAACTCTTTTTTTTAATTTATTTTGAGACAGGTTGGCCTCAAACTTGTGATCTTCCTGCCTTAGCCTCCCACGCTGAGATTAGAGGTATGGATCACTATGTTTGGCAAGTTTTTATTATGAAAACCAGAAAATATATACGTGTTCATTCATTCATCCGTCCTCCTTTCTTTCCTTCCCCTTTGTTTTGTAGTACTGGAGATTCAGGGGCATTCTACCACTGAGCTATATCCCAGCCCTTTTTCATTTTTGAGACAGTCTCACTAAATTGCCTAGGTTGTCTGGGAATTTGTGATCCTCCTGCCTTGGCCTCCTGAGTAGCTTGAATTATAGGCATGAGCCACCATGCTCAGCAATATATGTGTTTTGCTTAACCACTTGAAAATAAATTGCAGACTTCATGATACTTCACTCCTATGTGCTTCATTATTCATTTCCTAAAATCATCATTCTCCTGTATTACTACTATTCTATTAGCACAACTAAGAAAATTAATTTCCTCATGTCATCAGTTATCCAGTTTTTTATTCAAGCTTTCCTAATTGTTTTCCAAAAATAGCATTTGATTACATTCTGGAATGGTTCTCTCAACTCTTCTTTTTAGACATTGACTTTTTAAAATATTTTTTTAGTTGTCAGTGGACCTTTATTTTATTTATATGTGTGCTGAGAATTGAACCTAGTGACTCGCATGCTAGGCAAGCGCTCTACCACTGAGCCACAACCCCAACCCTAGACATTGACTTGTGTGTGTGTGTGTCTGTCTGTCTGTCTGTCTGTGTGTCTGGGTCTGGTGCTCAGGGCCTTGTGCATGCTAGGCAAGCACTCTACTTCAGGTATATCCCTATGCAGACATTGACTTTTTGAAAGGACCAGGGCAATTGTCTTGTAAAATATCTCACAATCTGTGTTTGTCCTAAAATTTCCTCATGGTATCATTTACCAGGTTCCTCTGTTGTATTTCTTAGAAATGGATATAAGTATGCAAGTGGGATTCATCCCAGGGATGCAAGGTTGGTTCAACATATGGAAATCAATAATATAATTCATCATATTAATAGACTTAAAAACAAGAATCATATGATCATCTCAATAGATGCAGAAAAAGCATTTGACAGAATTCAGCACACCTTCATGTTCAAAACACTAGAAAAGCTAGGGATAGTAGAAACATACCTCAATATTGTAAAAGCTATCTATGGTAAATCCAAGGCCAGCATAATTCTAAATGGAGACAAATTGAAAGTATTCCTGCTAAAAACTGGAACAAGACAAGGATGTCCTCTTTCACCACTTCTATTCAACATCATCCTTAAACTCTAGCCAGAGCAATTAGACAAAGAAATTAAAGGGATACAAATAGTTAAAGATGAACTCAAACTATCACTATTTGCTGATGACATGATTCTATATCTAGAAGATCCAAAAAATTCCACCAGAAAACTTCTAGAACTAATAAATGAATTCAACAAAGTAGCAGGATATAAAATCAACACCCATAAGTGAAACTTATTTATGTACATCAGTGATAAATGTGAAAGAGAAATTAGGAAAACTACTCCATTCACAATAGCCTCAAAAAAAAAAAAAAACCCTGGGAATCAATCTAACAAAGGAGGTGAAAGACCTCTACAGTGAAAACTACAGAACACTAAAGAAAGTAATTGAAGAAAACCTAAGAAGATGGAAGGATCTCCCATGCTCCTGAATAGGCAGAATTAATATTGTCAAAATGGCCATACTACCAAAAGCGTTATACAGATTTAATGCAATTCCTATTAAAATCCTGCTGACATTCTTCATAGAAATAGAAAAAGCAATCATGAAATTTATTTGGAAAAACAAGAGACCCAAAATAGCTAAAGCAATCCTTAGCAAGAAAAGTGAAGCAGGAGGCATCACAGTACCAGACCTTAAACTATACTACAGAGCTGTAGTAACAAAAACGGCATAGTAGTGGCACCAAAATAGACTTGTAAACCAGTGGTTCAGAATAGAGGACAAGAGACAAATCCACATAAATACGGTTATCTCATACTAGACAAGGGTGCTAAAAACATTCACTGGAGAAAAGATAGGCTATTCAACAAATGGTTCTGGCAAAACTGGAAATCCATATGTAGCAAAATGAAATTAAACCTCTCTCTCTCACCCTGCACAAAAATCAACTCAAAGTGGATCAAAGACATAGGCACTGGAACAGAGACCCTGCACCTAATAGAAGAAAAAAATAGGCCCAAATCTTTACCGCATTGGCCTAGGATCTGACTTCCTTAACAAGACTATTAAAGCACAAGAAGTAAAATCAAGAATCAATAAATGGGATGGATTCAAATTAAAAAGCTTCTCAGCAAAGGAAACAATAATGTGAGGAGAGAGCCTACAGATTCAGAGAAAATCGTTACCATATGCACCTCCGATAAAGCATTAATCTCTAGGATATATAAAGAACTCCAAAAACTTAACACTAAAAAAACAAATAACCCAATCATTAAATGGGCTGAGGAACTGAACACTTCACAGAAGACATACAATTGATCAACAAATATGTAAAAAAGTGTTCAATGTCTCTAGCAATTAGAGAAATGCAAATCAAAACTACTCTAAGATTTTATCTCACTCCTGTCAGAATGGCAATCATCAGGAATATAGGCAACAATAAATGTTGGTGAGGATGTGGTGAAAAAGGTATACTCATACATTGCTAGTGGGACTGCAAATTGGTCTGCAACCACTATGGAAAGCAGTATGGCGATTCCTCAGAAAACTGGGAATGGAACCACCATTTGACCCAGCTATTCCACTCCTTGGTTTATACACAAAGGACTTAAAATCTGCATACTATAGTGATGCAGCCACATCAATGTTTATAGCAGCTCAATTCACAATAGCCAGACTATGGAACCAACCTAGGTGTCCTTCAATAGATGAATGGATAAAGAAAATGTGGTATATATACTCAATGGAATATTACTCAACTTTAAAGGAGAGTGAAATTATGGCATTTGCCAGTAAATGGTTAGAGTTGGAGAATATCATGCTAAGTGAAATAAGCCAATCCCATAAAACCAAAGGCCAAATGTTTTCTCTAATATGCAGATGCTAATTCATAATAAGGCGGGGACCACTAGGGAAGAAAAGCATTACTTTGGATTAGGTAGAGGAAAGTGAAGGGAGGGGAGGGGAGGGAAGGGGAGGGGATGTGGGGATAGGAAAGATAGTAGAATGAAACAGACATTATTACTGTATGTATATATGTGACTACATGACCAATATGATTTTGCAACATATACACTCAGAAAAATGAGAAATTATATCCCACCTATGTATGCTATATCAAAGTGTATAAATGCATTCTACTGTCATGTATAACTAATTAAAACAAAAAATGAAAAAAAATAAAACATTTGCAAAACAAAAAAAAAGAAATGGATATAAGTCTAAAGGCTTGTTTAGATTAAGTATTTTTGATGATACCTCATAGCTCATGCTGTGTGCTTCTTGTACAGTAACTGGAACATGCCCTTTTAAGAAAAAATGGTAAAGTAACAAAAAAATTACCAAATTAACTACTTTTAAGTAGTGTTAAATATATTTACTTTCTTGTGCAGCAGATCTCCAGAATTTTTTCATTTTGCAACACTTAAATTCCATGCCCATTTTTAAAAATCTCTTTTATTTCCATTCTCCAACACATTTTTTGTTTTTTTCACATTGGTGAGATCAAATGATAGAGTTTTATGTCTTGCTTGTTTTTCCTGTAGTGTGCATTTGCCCATATTATTAAGGGTTGTTAGTATAATCCATTTTATGAATAAATTGTTACTTTTGATAGGTGGAATTCTAGTTTCTGGCTGCTATAAATAATAACTGCAAGGGAACTGTTTTTCTTATCTTTGACTCAGAGCTTTGGTTGGGCCCAGTTTTTATGAGGGCAAAGGAGTAGTCTCTATTATCTGAAAAGTAATTAATTAGGACATTTCTTTTCCTCTCAGTGTCTCCTTTATACCATTTCTTCTCCCCTTTCTTCCTGACTTTCCCTCCTCCATTTTTCCCTTCCTCCCTTAGGTAAGTCAAATCTCATGGATGCTATCAGCTTTGTGCTGGGTGAAAAAACCAGCAACCTGAGGGTAAAGACCCTGCGGGACCTGATCCATGGAGCACCTGTGGGCAAACCAGCTGCCAACCGGGCCTTTGTCAGCATGGTCTACTCTGAGGAGGGTGCTGAGGATCGCACCTTTGCTCGTGTCATTGTAGGTGGGTAAGGCTGGTCATAAAACTGTCTTTGGATCCTAGGAAGTGGCAAGACTAGTTGATGGGATAGGAGGACATCCTGATCCTCACCAACTCGTGCATTGTCTTATAGGAGGTTCTTCTGAATACAAGATCAACAACAAAGTGGTCCAGCTACATGAGTACAGTGAGGAATTAGAGAAATTGGGCATTCTCATCAAAGCTCGTAACTTCCTCGTCTTTCAGGTGGGCATTTTAAATAGTTATGGGCTGTCTGCTTTTTGTTAGCCCCTGTCCCATCTCTGCTGGGTCTGCTTCATCATTTCTATCCTGAATTAATGTAGCACCTTTTTTACTGGGCTTCCTGATTCCTTTCCAGCCCCTTCCAGTTCATCCCCTAGGTCAGGTTCTTCTTATGAGGACACAAATCTATTTCTCTCCTTTTTTTCCCCCTTAAAGCATTTCAGTGCTGGGCACTGTGGCAGATGCCTGTAATCCCAGTGGCTTGGGAGGCTAAGGCAGGAGGATTTTGAGTTCAAAGCCAGCCTTGGCAACTTAGCAAGGCCCTAAGCAACTCAGTGAGACCCTGTCTCTAAAAAAAAAAAAATATTTATAAAAAAGGCTGAGGATGTGGCCCAGTGGTTAAAGCGCCTCTGGGTTCAATCCCTGGTACCAAAAAAAAAAATTCAGTGATTTCTTCTTGTATTATGGTGGTGGTGGCTCTCAAATTATAGTCCCCAGACCAGCAATATCAGCACCACCAGGGAATGTGTTACAAATGAACATTCTCAGGCCCCATTCTAGACCTTTTGACTAAAGAGACTATGGGATGGGACACAGCAGTTTGTGTTTTACCAAGCTCTCCAGTTTATTATGATGCCTACTAAAATTTGAGAATGATTGCCTTAGATGAAAATTCATACTTCTAAGTTTGTCGTTCAGGAAACACTATCATTTGGTTCTTGCTGGCCACCTTATTGGCCTTAGCTGCCAATACTCTTTCCCTCTAACCTTGGTACTCCAGCCTAATTAAACCATTTGTAGGTCCCCAAATTCACTTGCTATCTTTGCCGTGTTGGCCTTTGCATATTAATTTTCTTTCACATGGAATAACCTTTTTTTTCCTCTTAATTTTCTCCCTCCATCCCTTCCTGTGCTAGGAATTTATCCAGGGACTCACAAATGCTTGGCAAGTGCCATACTTCTGAGCTATACCCCCAGCTCCCTCTTATTTTCTTGGTTAGTTTTTTCCCATCTTCCAAATTCAGCTTGGAAGAATCCTGGGGACTAAGGTCAGGTTAGTTTAGGAAGATGAGCTTTATCAATCTTTGCCCAGAATTAATCCTTTTCTCCAGGAGTATAGGCTATTATTATAAAATCCATTTCTTTTATTTGTATTTCTATTGGAGATAAAAAGCTGTACTAGGACAATGTTGTGTTCAAGAGCAGGTAATGTTTAATATGTGCTTTTGAAAAATGTAAATAAATTACATATTCACTTTTTTAAAAAAGAAAAATTCAGCTTGAATGTCACACTTGGAAAGCCTTTCCAAGATAGGCATCCTTACTACTCTTCTACCCTCCAAACATCATTTAGTCCTTTTTTTGTTTTGCTTCTATCAGTGTTCATAACACACTGTTATCTTTGTGTCTGTCTCTTCTGCTCCCTGTGCTCCTCAAAAGCAGAAAACGTGTCCTCAAAGCCCAGTGTGGAATGTGGCCATATTTGGGGAGAGTGGACTTTTTTTTTTTTTTTTTTGAATGAATGAATGAGAGGGAGTGAGCAGGGAAAACAGTTAGCTAGGGTATAAATGGGAGAGTGTTTTAACCTTTATAGGGTGCTGTGGAGTCTATTGCCATGAAGAACCCCAAAGAGAGGACAGCTCTATTTGAAGAGATCAGTCGCTCTGGGGAGCTGGCCCAGGAGTATGATAAGCGAAAGAAGGAAATGGTGAAGGCTGAAGAAGACACACAATTTAATTACCATCGCAAGAAAAACATTGCAGCTGAACGCAAGGAGGCCAAACAGGAAAAAGAAGAGGTAGGTTGCCAGTTTGCCTCTTAATTCTGAGGGACCTAAATGGAGCCAGTGCCTTACCGAGGCACCCCTGTCCCCGTTCCCATTTGCACAGGCGGACCGCTACCAGCGCCTGAAAGATGAGGTGGTACGAGCCCAGGTACAGCTGCAACTCTTTAAGCTTTATCATAATGAAGTAGAAATCGAGAAACTCAACAAGGAACTGGCCTCAAAGAACAAAGAGATTGAGAAAGACAAGAAGCGAATGGACAAGGTAGAGGATGAGCTGAAGGAGAAGAAGAAGGAGCTGGGCAAAATGATGCGGGAGCAGCAGCAGATCGAGAAGGAGATCAAGTAAGAAGCAGACTTGGTCCTGCAATTTGTGGGAAACCAAGAGGCTGTGCTATTCTCTACGGCTCCTTTGAGCCTAAAGTCCAGTGCCTATACTAGTTTATCTTCTTGACTTACTTTGACCAGAACCAGGCACATTTCTTGACCTGCATTTAAGACAGATAAAATATTTAAGTACTTAGGCTGTGAATAGACAGGTTCTCAGATGAGGGAGAACTTGATAGGGGTGGTGGCCTTGTCAGATGAGAAGAAGCAATAAAGACCCAGCAATTGAAATGGCCAAGAAGACTGTCCTGGAAGAGGAAAACTGAAGCTAGGAGCATAAACAGGCATTTGAAATGGTTAGATCAGATGAGGGACAACTCAGTAAACACAGGGTATTCTTGGAAGTTGTTAGTGAGGGGTTTGGCTTGGCATTAGGTTGGAGCAGAGGTGGTAGCTTTGCAGCTGAACACAAGGAGGCAATACAGGAGAAAGAAGAGGTAGGTGGCTAGGCTGCCTCTTGACTCTGAAGGTCTAGAACATGAGGCTGAAGCTGTAATTCCAGGTAGTAGTTCGACTGCCCCTTTTTTGAAGATCCATGGGGCATTACATTAGCTGGGACTAGCTGGGGAGCTCAGGCCCCCCTTTCTTTAAGTAGAAAGCCTGGGACTCCTCCCTTCTTCCACAGTGCTGATTGTCCCCTTTCTCTCTGACAAAAGGGAGAAGGACTCAGAGCTGAATCAGAAGCGACCTCAGTACATCAAAGCCAAGGAGAATACCTCCCACAAAATCAAGAAGCTGGAAGCAGCTAAGAAGTCTCTGCAGAATGCTCAGAAGCACTATAAAAAGCGTAAAGGTGACATGGATGAACTGGAGAAGGAGATGCTGTCTGTGGAGAAGGCCCGACAGGAGTTTGAAGAACGGATGGAAGAGGAGAGTCAGAGTCAGGGCAGAGACTTGACCCTGGAGGAGAATCAGGTAGGCCTTGGAAGCAGTTGATTGACAGGCGATTGCTGGGCTGACCTGGGCTGACTTAGACATTCTTGTCCTCATTTCTGTCCCTACACAGGTAAAGAAATACCACCGGCTGAAAGAAGAAGCCAGCAAGAGAGCAGCCACTTTAGCCCAGGAGCTGGAGAAGTTCAATAGAGACCAGAAAGCTGACCAGGACCGTTTGGATCTGGAAGAGCGGAAGAAAGTAGAAACAGAGGTTGGCAGAAGTTATAAGACTATGTCTGGGGACTGGGATATAGCTCAGTGGCAGAGTGCATGCTTAGCAAGTACAAGGCCATAGGTTCAATCCTCAGCACACAAAAAGATTAGGAATGATGGTCCCTAGAAAAGAAAATAATGATAGTCTTTTTTTTAATATTTATTTTTTAGGTGTAGCTGGACACAATACCTTTATTTATTTTTATGTGGTGCTGAGGATCGAACCCAGGGCCTCACACATACCAGTTGAGTGCTCTACCGCTGAGCCACAACCCCACCCCTGATAGTCTTAACAATAATGGCAGTAGCTAACATCTGTTGAGTACTTTATTTATTGTGTGAGAGGTACCATTCTTTACATATATTCACTTATTTAATTCTTCATTTATGACTACCTTTATGGGATGGTTACTATTATCCACACTTTCCAAATAAGGAAACTATAGCACAGAGGTGAAGTAATTGTTTGAGTTCATATAATTATTAAGCAGCAGAACCAGAGTATGAACTTGGGCTGTCTAGCTCTAAAGCTCACACTGATAACTCTCTTACCACGTATACTTACTATTTTTCTAATGTTGATGATGATGATAGAAAGTTGTCATATTGCCCCAAGAACCTGAAATGTTCTAGGCATTCTGTTAAGCACTTATATAGTAGTTACCCTGTTTTAAATGCTTGACATATGTTTTATGAAATCGAAGTTATCTACGTTTTACAAATGAGAAAACAGGTTCAGAAAGGCCTGTGAAGCTTACTTTGCCTGGGTTTGACCCTCTGATTGGCGAGGAAGCCTGGAGTAAGGACAACACCTGTGAGAGGTTCTAGAGCCCTGGGAGGCCTTTGTCAGTTAGCAAACCAAACTAGACACCATCTGTGTGTCTCCTTTTTAGTAGGCCTCCTGCATTAATGACAAGTTGTCTTGGACTCTTGGATGAGTGGGCACATAGAGAGTGTAAGTAAGCCCCTGTGGTCTTGGAGTTAACTGCCTCAGGCCCTGGTGATAGAATTTACTTGTTACCTAGGCCAAGATCAAGCAGAAGCTGCGGGAGATTGAAGAGAATCAGAAGCGGATTGAGAAGCTGGAGGAATACATCACTACTAGCAAGTATGTGGCTCAGCAGCCTTTCCCCCTTCCTTCTACTCCTGTCCTGCCCTGTCCCTTTTTAGGCAGGACGACTGAATCCCTCAGTCAGGAACATTATCCCACCAGCCAGGGTTAACTTCTATGTTCTGTCATTTTGTAGGCAATCCCTAGAGGAGCAGAAGAAGCTAGAGGGAGAACTGACTGAGGAGGTGGAGATGGCCAAGAGGCGAATAGATGAGATCAATAAGGAGCTGAACCAGGTGATGGAGCAGTTGGGGGATGCACGCATAGACCGCCAGGAGAGCAGCCGTCAGCAGCGAAAGGCAGAGATAATGGAAAGCATCAAGCGCCTTTACCCTGGCTCTGTGGTAAGACAGGAAAAGGGAGTCTTACTGAGCACTTATTCATACCCACTATTATGGTTTTCCCAACAACCCTGTGAGGACAGGGTTGCTAATCTTATTTTTATAGTTGGGGAAATTGAGACTCAGAGAGATTGGTCCAAAGAAGCCCAGCTTATAAGTGGAAAAACTGCAATTCAAACCCAATTTGTCCTGATGCTTAAGCTTATGTTCTCTTCACCATACTAATTACATCTTCCATATGGCCTCCCTTGACATATACCAAGCCTGTTAGCTTTATTTATTTATTGTTTTTTCTTTAATTGGTACACTACAATTTTGCATAAAAGTGAAATTTATGGTGTTATGTTCATACAAGCACATGGCATAATTTGGTTAATTTTATTCTCTCCTTTCCTATCCCTCCTTCCTCCCCCTCTGTCCCCTTCCACTACTCCACTGTTCTCTTTCTATTTTCATGAGAGCCCATTAGCTTTTAGAGACACCCCGAACTTTATCAGATATCTTGGCCTCTTTCACCAAATTCCATGTTCCCATGTTCCCTGAGTAGTACCCCTCTACATTATCCTGTCCCTGAGTTTAACTTAGTTTAGTTCTACGAATATTTCATGATCACTCCTCTGGGTACTGCTGGGGAGATAAGTATGAATCAGAGTCAGTCCTTGGCCTTGAAGATCTTATCCTTTATCTGATGGTTCTTAGGAAACCATGCTTGATTTTGGTCAGGGATGATGTAAGGTCAAAAGAGATTTATTTTGTAAGGTAAAAGAGATTTATTTTGCTTGGTGCTTATGAAAGTTTGATATAATGTATATAACATATTTGACATAATGCCTGGGTTGCAATGATCTGTGAAATGGTAAAAGTGATTTTTGGAAAGGTGATTTTGAATTCAGACTTTGATTTCCTTGAGTCATTGTTGTTTGGGAGCCATAATAGGCTTTTTACCATAGGATGGGGATTCTATTCCTCTGTGAGACAGAAAAATACCATGGTGCTTTTCTTACTCTCCCACAGTTAATACAGCACTTTACTTTTGATACCAGATGTTTGGGTTTTTTCCCCACACACCAAGCAGTTCTCTAGACACCAGCCGGGTGTTCAGTAATTCAGTTCAGTTCTTAACACTTGTCTATGTAGTGTCAGATCCCACGTTAAGGGTTCAGTCTGACAGGACTGCCTCTCACTTCAGATGTCAATTGCAAGTGGTAGGTTGTGATCTGTGGTTCTGACTGACTTGTTATAAATAGGCTTCCCACGACCCTCCTCTTGGATTTGACTCATTTGCTAGGGCAGCTCATAGAACTCAGGGAGACACTTAGGGATACCCATTTATTATAAACAATTTTACAAAGGATACAGATGAATAGCCAGATGGAAGTGATGTATAGGGTAAAGTATGGGAGCTGAATCATGGAGTTTCTTTTTTTCTTTTCTTTTTTGGAACTGGGGATAAAACCCAGGGCTCTGTGAATGTGAGGCAAGTGCTTTGCCACTGAGCTACATTCTAGCCCAGGTCATGGAGTTTCTATGCTCTCACCATGCACACCATTCTCCAGGGACCACCTCTTGTTCAGATATCTAGAAGTTTCTTTTTTTTTTTTTCTAGAAGTTTCTGAACACAGAACTTTTGGGCTTTTATGGAGGCCTCCCACATAGGCAGGATTGATCACTTTATTAGCCATTGCTGATCCCAACTCAATTTTTGGCCCATCTTCCACAACAGAGGTTATGAGTGGGGTAGGGCTGAAGGTCTCAACCTTTTAATCTTGCCTTGGTCTTTCTAGTGACTAACTTCCATATTAAACCTATGTAGGAATGACCAGTGATCTGTTGTCACTCTTGTTTTTGGAGCTATGTGTGTCAAGAACTGGAGACTAGGACTAAATGTATATTTCTTTTTTCTTTATTTCTCTCTCTCTCTTTTTTGTTTTTTTAGTAGTTGACATTGAAAGAAGGGACACTCCTGAGCTACATCCCCAGTCCTACTTATTTGTTTATTTATTATTTAGGTATCAGGGATTGAACCAGGGGATGCTTAAACACTGGACCACATCCCCAACCTTTTTTTTTTTTTGAGACAGGGTCCCGCCAAGTTGTTTAGAGCCTTGCTAAGTTGCTGAGGTTGGCCTCGAACTTATAATCTTCCTGCCTTAGCCTCCCCGGGATTACAGGAATGCACCCTGCACCCAGCTCTAAATGTTTCTCAGTATCATAGTCCACACTGGTGTTTGAGTACAAATCCGTTATACCAGAACAATCATGAGTCAAAAGAAACTGGCATGTTACTAGAATACTCTTCAGTCATTCATTAATATTAATCTAGTCTATCATCATATCATGTGTAAATGTCTCCTGGATGAGGCTGCTCAGGTTTGTAGCCTTCCATTCATTCTTGTAAGTTTCTAAAAGCAGGAATAGTCTTGGAGAACCTGTAGCTTTGCTCTTTTAGGTGTTTAGAACTATATGTCATCTCTTTCACTAAGCCTCTTTTGAGGTATTAATGTAATATTGGTTTTCCTACATTATGTAACCTATGTATTCATACCTTTGCTTCCCTCTTAACCCAAATGTTTTCATCTTTGGGAGGAACATTAGGATTGGCTACTGTGCAGCTCTAGATTGTAGACAGCACTAGTCTTGCAAATACCCCCCTCAGTCCATTCCTGTTCACATAAGGTAGGGTTACACAGATGTAGAACTAGCTGGCTAGTTTGACCAGTAGGGAGTATAGTTATGTGGATTGTTTCTGATAGAGATTCTAGCCTACCCTTTCTGAGCTGGTAATTGAGATTACTACACCAGCTCCCAAAAGCCTCATGCTTCAATTTTTTTTTTCTTTCTTTTTCACTTAGTATGGCCGCCTCATTGACCTCTGCCAGCCCACACAAAAGAAGTATCAGATTGCTGTGACCAAGGTTTTGGGCAAGAACATGGATGCCATTATTGTAGACTCAGAAAAGACAGGCCGGGATTGTATTCAGTATATCAAGGAGCAGCGTGGGGAGCCAGAGACCTTCTTGCCTCTTGACTACCTGGAGGTGAGGCTTGTGAGAATGGGGTCAGGGCAGTATTCAAGGGCTCTTCCTCTTGGGCCTCCGTGTTGTGCCACTTATTGAGCTTCTTTACACAGGTGAAACCTACAGATGAAAAACTCCGGGAACTGAAAGGGGCCAAGCTAGTGATTGATGTGATTCGCTATGAGCCACCTCACATCAAAAAAGCCCTGCAGTATGCTTGTGGCAATGCCCTTGTCTGTGACAATGTAGAAGATGCCCGCCGCATTGCCTTTGGAGGCCATCAGCGTCACAAGGTATTGATTCCCTTACCCAGGTTGGAGCTGAACCGCTTTAGTAATGGAGATTCCTGTTTAGCTTTTCCTTCTTTCTTTATACTGTGTATAGACAGTTGCACTGGATGGGACCCTGTTCCAGAAGTCAGGAGTCATCTCTGGTGGAGCCAGTGACCTGAAAGCAAAGGCACGGCGCTGGGATGAGAAAGCAGTAGACAAGTTGAAAGAGAAGAAGGAGCGGTTGACAGAGGAGCTGAAAGTAAGCCATGGGCACCTGTAGTCCCTAGGAGTAGAGGTTCCAAGCCCCCCGTATTGACTGCCTTCTTACTATGTAGACCTTCCTTGTCCTCTTCAGGAGCAAATGAAGGCAAAGCGGAAAGAGGCAGAGCTGCGTCAGGTGCAGTCTCAGGCCCATGGATTGCAGATGCGACTCAAGTACTCACAGAGCGACCTAGAACAGACCAAGACACGACATCTGGCACTAAATCTCCAGGTAGGGCCTGGCCTTTAGCCCTGTTTTCCAAAGGTCCTCCTCATTTTCCTAGTCCAGGTTTCTCTGGAGGTGGGGAACTTGTTCCTTTCCTCCCAGAATGTTCCAGAGAACCAAGCATAGCACAGTGTCAGACAGCCAGGGGTTCAGATCTTGGCTCAGCTATGTGTATAACATTCAGCAAGATACACAGTGTCAGTTTTTTCATCTTTATCTATAAAATAGGAATTAATATCTACTTTATAGGGTCCTTACAAAGATGGAAGAAGTTAATACCTATAAAGTGCTTAGACTAGTATGTGCTCAGTTCATGTTAGATGGCCATTATTAGCATATTCATTCAATAAATTTTTGAACTTCTAAAAGTGAATTAAAAGTGGGCCATAGGAATTTCAGTCCCTGTAGGTGGTGGCACTGTTCTAGGTATTTTCATGTGTTTTTCGATTATTGGGTTCTTCCCCAGCTTACTCTGGAGGTGTAATACAATATGTAGTGTGTATATGCACAATTACATGTGCATGTATGAGAATAAAAAAGATTTTTACCTTTCTCTAAAAAAAGATCTGACTTGTAGGACATACATAGTTCCAGGGTATCTATAGATAAGCGATTGTGGACCTATAGTTAAAGGTGTTTACTGTGTTGCCTAGTCCTATGGATTGAAGCTGGTTAATAGGAGGCCAGGAAAGAAGTCATGTGGTGGCTCCAGCAAGAGATGATGGGATTTGACTAGGGCAGTGGTGCAAAATCAGGTTTTCTCAGGGTGTGGAGAGCTTGCCCTTCCTGACTGTTAAGCCAGTGTAGTCAGGGTAGCTCTTGTCCTCCAAGGAGTCTGGTCTCTTATTTTTCAACCCATTACCTCTAGGAAAAGTCCAAGCTGGAGAGTGAGCTGGCCAACTTCGGGCCTCGAATTAATGATATCAAGAGGATTATTCAGAGCCGAGAGAGGGAAATGAAAGACTTGAAAGAGAAGATGAACCAGGTTGGTAGAGGGTGAGCCATACCAGCATGTGTGTCAGGGAAGGACTGGGATTTGAAGCAGACTCTGACCAAGAGAACCTCCATACTCTCTGGCTTCTCCCTTCAGGTAGAGGATGAGGTATTTGAAGAATTTTGTCGGGAGATTGGTGTCCGCAACATCCGAGAATTTGAGGAAGAGAAGGTGAAGCGACAGAATGAAATTGCCAAGAAGCGGTAGGTAAAAGTATTGGTAGAAAATACTGGGATGCTCTTTAGCTTCCAGCCTGACATCCTTGAAAATCAAATGCTGTCATAAGACATGGACCAGCTCTTAGAACCTGAATAGTTTATTGTAGGTAAGCCTCAAAGAACAGGGGAATCAGGGAGGCAGTATGACGTAGGATAGTGTTTAAACGTATCAGATTTAAACTTGGTTTACCTGGAATTAATGGGATCTACAACTCATTATCTCGGTTAGTGACTTGACTTCTACAAGCTACAGTTTCTGTGACATGGGATAATAATGATACCTATCTTGTGGCATTGTTGGGAGGAACAGATGAAATAATGCTCATGAAGTATTTAGCATAAAACTTAGCACCTGCTAAGAGCAGTAAACATTAGTATTTATTTTCTCTTATCATGATTGGGTAGGGGGTTCTAGGCTGAAGGAATAGCCAGAACAAATTAAGCTCCTTTGTTTCTCTCTTTAGTTTATTCATTCATTCAATAATCTTGAATACCTATCTTGTGCCAGGTTGTCCTGTACTAGGTATTGAAGGAGCCCAGGGGATTTGGGGGTTAGACAGATGAACATGACATAGTCACTATTAAAGGAGGTCACTCCTTAGATCCTGGTTCTCAGTCAACAGTTCGTCTACCCCTTTACCAATACAGTAAATATTCATTGCACTCCTACCACAGGCTAGGCTCAAAGGATTAAATTGGAGGATCTATCTATTTTCAGGGAGCTTATGGAGTACTTGGGGAAACAGACAGATCAACAATAACAGAACAGTGTGATTGATAGTGTAATTGAGGTATATAAAAATAATACAAAGGACATTTTCAAGGAGCTACAAATCAGTAAGAGGAAAAATACAAAAAAAAGAAAATGGGCAGAAGATACAGTTGGCATTTTATGGAAAGAGAAAATTGGTTGGCTAACAACAGTAGGAATTAATGTTCAGTCTCTTAACCAGAGGAATACAAGTTAAAAGCAATCTAGCAAGGTCTGAGGATGTAGCTCAGTGGTAGAGCACTTGCCTAGCATGTGCAAGGCCCTGGGTTCAATCCCTAGTACTACAGCAAAGAAAAATTCTAGCAGTATTTGGTGAAAATTAGTCTACGTATGTCCTCTTTAGTATGGAGATCATATACACACACATATTCCCCACTCCATAATATAATGTTCAGTCTCTTTGAACCAGAGTTAATATATATACATATACACACACCAGAAAATCTTACTACAGGATCACAAATAGGCACATTCAAGGTTGTTCATCTTGGCATAATCTGTGTTAATGGGGCATTGGTAGCAATGTAGAATGGCTATCACTGGGTAAAAGTATAAGTTTAAAGTGATGATTATACAAACTGTAATACTGTAAAGCAGTTCAAAGCAAGAATAGATTTATAAACAGTTACTTGGATAAAGTATGACTGAAAAAATAAGAATGAAAATTATAACACCAAGCATTTGTATAAATTTGAAAACATTTTATAAGGATATGCATTTTTAAATTTTTTTTTTATTTTTTTAGATGTTGATGGACCTTTATTTTATTCATTTTATTTATATGCGGTATATGCGGTGCTGAGGATTGAACTCAGTGCCTCACATATGCTAGGCAAGCGCTCACCACTGAACCACAACCCCAGCTCAAGGATATGCATTTTTAAGGGGGAGTGTGTGTGTATACATATCACTTTGGGGTATGTATTAATAATAGGGAAGGTAATTGAAGTGGAAATTGGGTATTAAAACAAGAAGACGAGAAGGGTCTTGCACAGACAGTGATAAGTGTAATGAGCCATGGATTTGATTAACTCAACTCTGCAACTGAAGTTCAAAAAGGGAGGAACCCAGCAAAGTATAACAGGTACTCAGAACCTGCTCTGAACCACCAGGAAAGGTTTTACAGAACAAGGAGTGATGAACTAAAGACCTGAAGAGTGAGTAGGATTTAGCCAGCCAGGTAGTGGCAGAAGAAGAGAGTTGCAGGCAGCGAGAACAGCATGCTTGGAGGTGTGAGAGAGCATGCCTTGTTCTGGACACTAAGTAGTTTTGAATGTCTAAATCATAAAAACAGGGTCAGGAGAAAGGCGGGGGTGGTGGAGAGGTCAGCAGGGGCCAGATCACAGAGGACTTTATGAGTCATACTTAGGAGATTAGACTTAAAATTGCATGGCTCAAAATTATAGAGTTAATTACATTCCATTTGGATTATAGTGACTAATAGGTTTAAGCTGCTAGCATGACATCTGGCAGCATCTGTCACACTCAATTGGGGATTGGAGGGGCAGTTGAAAGTTATTAGCCCTGCCTGGCCTGCTAGTGTCTATATATGGTTACATATTCTTAGTTTCTGAAAAGATGGGGGACAGGCAATAATAAGAATCTAATATTTTCTCCATGGTCCTACCCAAGCTCTGCCCCTTAAGAGGTTCTAAAATCTTCAGCAGTGGTTGGGATGCTGAAAATAATCAAAACCCTTGGGCAAAGATGAGCTGAATATAGTCAGTATACCTGGCAATGATAACTTTAAAAAAAAATTTTTTTATATTGGGAATTGAACTCAGGGGTGCTTAACCACTGAGCTACATCCCCAGCCCTTTTTTATATTTTATTTAGAGACAGGGTCTCGCTGAGTTGCTTAGTGCCTCGCCAAGTTGCTGAGGCTGGCTTTGAACTCGTGATACTCCTGCCTCAGCCTCTCGAGCCACTGGGATTACAGGTATGCGCCACCCTGCCCGGCATAACTAAAATTTATTGAGTAGTTACTGTGTGCCAGGCATAGTTCTAAGGACTTTAACTCATTGAGAATATCTCTCAGTAATTCTGAGGTAAGTACTATTGTTATTTCCGAATCTGAGGAATGGAGAATATAATATAACTTGACTGAGATCATACTACTAGTAAATGGCAATATTGGGATACCAATACTCTAAACTCACTACATTATATTGTGATGATGGTGTATGGGAGTGAGCCCAGGTTTTGGTGTTAGACTTGGGTTCCAATCTCATATGTGCCATTTACTAGCTGTATGGCCTTTTAGCCTGTTCTCTCTGTTGTAAAATTAGGATAATAATGCCTACTGTGGAGCTATCGATTAGAGGGTTCAAGATAATGTGTAAAGTACATAGAAGCTTAATAAATAAGAATTAAACATAGCTGGTGGGTTCAGATGGACCTTTTTATGCCCTCACGGGAAAATGGAAACATGCTGGAGTCTTCAGTGTTTGAAGGGTGATAAATGGGTTTTGGCCTAGTCTCCCCTACTTTGTGCCATGTCCACAGGGGAATTTCATTCTTTAACTTTTGGCATGTGGGGGTACCCAACCACTGAGCTACATCCCCAGCCCTATTTTTTATTTAGAGACAGCGTCTCGCTGAGTTGCTTAGTGCTTTGCTTTTACTCAGGCTGGCTTTGAACTCGTGATGCTCCTGCCTCAGCCTCCTGAGCTGCTGGGATTACAGGCATGTGCCACCACGCCTGGCATAATTTTTTAACTTGAAGACAGTTTTATGTGCATGTGAGTGGATGAGATAATGGTGACTAAAATCTAGCAGTAATGTGGAGGCCTGAGCCCTGGGCCTAGTTCCTCTTTCTCTCCTTAGTTTGGAGTTCGAAAATCAGAAGACTCGCTTGGGCATCCAGTTGGATTTTGAAAAGAACCAACTGAAGGAAGACCAGGATAAAGTACACATGTGGGAACAGACAGTAAAAAAGGATGAAAATGAAATAGAAAAACTGAAGAAGGTAAGGAAGGAGAAAGTTAAAAAGGAAAAATTGGAATAAATATGACAGAAGGGTATGTCCATAGTTTATACACCTCTCACCTAGATTAATAAGAAAAACATCAAAATCCAAGTAGGGGGAAAATGAGTAAATAACATAGACAATGAGATTCTAACAGCTCATGAACACATACAAATAATTTATCCTTATCAGAAATCAAAGAAATGCAAATTAAATTAGAAACATTTGGGTATAATTTGTTTCTAGTCTATTGCTCAAGATTTTAAAACGAAAAAAGAATACTCAGTACCAGCTATGGTGCAGGAGAACAGTATTCTTACACAATTTGCCATCATCCATCAGGAGGACTCAGAATACATTTATACCCTGTAACTTGGTAATACCTGAAGAGATCATCAAGATCACGGTAAAGCTTTGTGCAAACAGGTTGATGTTTATTAGTAGCATAATTTATAGTTCTAAATTGCTAACTACCTACATGCCCCTTGGAAAGTGGGAATTTGGCACATCATGGTACATTGATGTATGTGTGTACTTTAATGGTTTTAACATTTCAGTAATACAGAAACCTCTTTTAAAGCAAAACTCTCCTCTAAGATATTGCCTTAAACCCTTGATGTTACTGAAATATATACTTAGAAAACTTAAAACAAAAGCCAAGAAAAACTTACAAAATAAATACTAGCAAAATGAATAAAATTGCCCGGCATGGTGGCACACGCCTGTAATCCCAGCGGCTCGGGAGGCTCAAGCAGGAGTATCACGAGTTCAAAGCCAGCCTCAGCAACTGTGAGGTGCTTAGCAACTCGGTGAGACCCTGTCTCTAAATAAAATATAAAATAGGGCTGGGGATGTGGCTCGGTGGCCCCGAGTTCAATCCACAGTACCTAAATAAATAAATAAATAAATAAATAAAATTAAAATTTAGATTTTTTAAAAAGTAACAAATATATATTTTTTAGGTTTTTTAAAAAATTTGTTCTAATTAGTTATACATGACAGAATGCATTTTGACACATCATACATAAATGGAGTATAACTTCTCATTCATCTGGTTGTACATGATGTACAGTTACACAGGTCATGTAATCATGTATGCACATAGGGTAATAATGTCATTCATTCTAATATCATTCCTGCCCCTTCCCCTTCCTTTACATTCGCCTGTCTAGTCCAAAATACCTCTGTTTATCCTTATTGGGGATGAGCATCTGCATATCAAGAAAATATTCAGCTTTTGTTTCTTTGAGATTGGCTTATTTTGCTTAGCATAATATTCTCCAGCTCCATCCATTTACTGGCAAATGCCATAATTTCATTCTTCTTTAAGCCTGAGTAATAGTTCTCTCTGTGTGTGTATGTATGTATGTGTGTATGTATATATCTATCACAGCTTCTTTATCCATTCATCTGTTGAAGGACACCTAGGTTGGTTCCATAGTTTAGCTATTGTGAATTGAGCTGCTGTAAACATTGATAAGACTGCAGCACTATAGAATACTGATTTTAAGTTCTTTAACAAATATATTTTAATTGATCTCAGATAAAAAATTCTCAGGGAAGGTCAATAATTGTTTCAAGCCCCTAATCTGCTGGAGCCATTTCTTGAAGAACCTTGAGGAACTGGGTTAATTGTTTTTTCTCATTATTTCACACCCACAGAATTTGCATGTCTGGCAACTGAGTTCAGTTTCTTCATATTTCATATTTAGTCTTTAGATCTTCTGCTTTGTCAGCATAAGCTTTCATGGCATTCCCTTTAGTACTCCCTTTCAGCTAATTCTGGGAATCACACTTGGCCTTACCTTTGAGTTCCAGCATCTTAAGCTATTCTGTATTTATGTTACCTACGGTCACTTGTTCATAGTGGCTATAAGAGGTATAGCATCTCATTGTCTACTGGGTTTGGTCTTAAGACCTGCTGGTCCAGTCACAGTCTCTCTGGGAGCCTAGAGAAGGCAAGGGAGAGGAACTAATAGTGTAAGATTGAACTGACAAGTACATCCCCAAAGATTCCAGACCCCAAATTTAACTACATTCATTCCTTGCAACAGATGATGATGTTTTGCTGAAACCTCATCACTTCATAGTGATTTTTTTCTAGTGGCTACTATACCTTAGTTCTTTGGCATGCCTGTGTCAATGTGTACTCTGTGATGACTCTCATTTTCCTATATCCTTCTTTGAGTTACTATAAAACTTTTGTTCCTTACAGCATTCCCTCCTGATATGGTATGGTCTTCTCTTGATTTGAACATATCGTTTTACTTTTGTCTACCTATATCTGTTTTATCATTCTTGTTTGTTTTTTTCATTAACCCCTGGTGTGATTAAAGTAGTTCTCTTTGTTGTCATTGGAATCTTAAATGCAATTGCCAATAGGGTGGTGAAATCCTAGGGCAGGACTAGATTCATATCTGGATGATCCAGGATAACGTGTTTATGTGAGTTTTGGACTTTTTTCTTTTTGGGGAGGGTATTGGGGCTTGAACTCGGGGACACTTGACCACTGAGCCATATCCCCAGCCCCATTTTGTATTTTATTTAGAAACAGGGTCTCAATGAGTTACTTAGTGCCTCACTTTTGCTGAGGCTGGCTTTAAACTCTCAATCCTCCTGCCTCAGCCTCCAGAGCTGCTGGGATCACAGGACAGGCATGCGCCACAGCACCCGGCTAGACTTCTTATTTTGAAATAATTTTCAGGTTAGCAGAGAGTTGCAGGAATAATACAATGATTCTCTTAATATTTGTGGAGGATTGGTTCTAGGACCCTCCTTCAAAGACACCAAAATGTGAGGATGCTCAAATCATTTGTATAAAACAGTATTATTTTTGTCTAACTCACATATATATTCTCCTGTATGCTTTAAATTATATATTATTTATAATATGTAATATAATGTAATACTATGCAAATAGTTATACTTTAGCGTTTAGGGAATAATAACAAGAAAAATGTCTATACACATTCAGTAGAAACAATTATTTTTTCCAAATATTTTTGGTTGGATGTAGAACTAAGGATTATTAAGGCCAAATGTCAAAGAACTTCCATCTGCTTATCCCCAAGCTTCACCAGTCATGAACATGTTACCACATTTGTTTTTATATTTCCTCTATGTATGTTTATTAGTTGCAGATATGTCTCCTTTATATGACTTCTTAAAATGAAAAAAAAAATCTTCCAATACAAAATTAGAACATTATAAGTAAGGTTACAATTCTCCTTTGGCTGACCACCCTCAATCCTAGTCCCCTTATTCTTTGCAGAGGTAAGCCCAGAATAGTTTGCATTCTTCAAGACCTTTTAGGATTTGCTTAAATATATGTACATTCATATATGAGTACTCTTAGAAATACATAGTATTGTTTGTGTGGGTTTTTACAAAACATGTAATATTATACATGACAAATTTTTGATTTATAAAAATAGCTCAAATATAACATTGTCAGAATGCAGACTTCTAATTACAATCTAATCTCAACTATGTAAAGCTGTTTATAAATAATGCTGGGGAAAATATACTAAAATATTAATTGGTTATCTCTGGCTGGTGGGATTAAGGAGTACTCCCCTTCGCCTTTATTCTTTTTTTTTTTTTTTTAAATACACGACAACAGTGGAATGCATTGCAATCCTTATTACACATATAGAACACAGTTTTTCATATCTCTGTATATAAAGTATGTTCACGCCAACTTATGCCATTATACATGTACTCTTTTTTTTTTTGGCATTACAATTCTTAATACACGTATATACCACAATTTCCATACTTTGACAAAACTTGTCTATAGTGGGTAACTTAGGTAATTGGGATTTTGTGGGAGGGCAACCAAATAAGATAAAGAATGCTAAGAGGTTACAGGGGTGTGAAAGCAAAGCTCATTGATGAGTGGCTCCAACAAACTGCCTGTTGGGAAGGGTGGGGCAAGAGAAGATCCCACAGTGAGATGGGAAAACCTTCATGTCTTATCCTGTTCCCTGCTGGGACCAGGAAGAGCAAAGACATATGAAGATCATAGATGAGACCATGGCCCAACTACAAGACCTGAAGAATCAGCACCTGGCCAAGAAGTCAGAAGTGAATGACAAGAATCATGAGATGGAGGAAATTCGGAAGAAACTTGGGGGTGCCAACAAGTGAGTGGGCTCAGGGACAGGGAGGGAGGAGTAGTTAGAAGAGGAAGCCTGCCAGATCTGGGTCTTACTTACCTCCCTGGACGTTTTAGGGAAATGACTCATTTACAGAAGGAGGTAACAGCCATTGAGACCAAACTTGAACAGAAGCGCAGTGATCGCCACAATTTGCTACAGGCCTGCAAGATGCAAGACATCAAGTTGCCGCTGTCAAAGGGCACTATGGATGATATTAGTCAGGAAGAGGTGAGTATTATGGCTGGTGGTAATGGGCTGTGAACAAAATTTACCAGGGATGGGGGTGAGAGTGGCCAAGAAGGCAGGTGACAGAGGCAGGTGGGCAGAGGGTGGGAGGGACATAAAGAGGGATGTACGTGTGAGAGATGAGGTAAGGGAAGGCAGGTATGGTTTTAAAAAAAAATGACTGTGCTGGGTGAGATGGCACACACCTATAATCCCAGCAGCTCAGGAGACTGAGGCAGGAGGATTGTAAACTCAAAGCCAGCCTCAGCAAAAAGCAAGGTGCTAAGCAACTTAGTGAGATCCTGTCTCTAAATAAAATACAAAATAGGGCTGGGTATATGGCTTGGTGGTCAAGTGCCCCTGTGTTAAATTTCCAGTACCTACCAAAAAAAATTGGCCTTGGTGTGAGAGGAAAGATGAATTGGGAGTAGAACTGCAAGCCAGGGAGTGGTGAGAAAGTTGAGCCAGGAAAGGATGAAGTAATCCATTAATCTTAGGGACATAAGTTAGTTTGGCTCCAGCAGGTGATGGATTTTGTAGGAGTGGGGAATGAGGGACATTAGCAAAGAGCAAAGGAAGATGGGAAACTGGGAGACCTGAGGCTTAGCTGCAGTAAGGGATTTTGGCCAGGAGAGGGTTGGCTAAGGGACATCAGCAATGCAGAGGGGAGGAAGCTTAGTTACAGGAAGGGGAGTGACGTTAAGGCAATAAAGGAGCCAAGGCATTTTATCCATTGGAAGTGAAGATTTATAGCTAGTGGGTGGGAAATATTAACCAAGAAGAGGTAGGAGGTTCATATATATCTTTGACTGGGTTATGTACCTCTGTCCTACATGTCTTTCTTCCTTCCTCTTCACAAGTAGCATGTCAGTTCAATTCAGTAAAATATTTTGAACTCTAGAAATGTTCTGGGCATCATGGTAACATGTGACATAATTACCTCTAATCCTAACCACAGTCCTGTGAGGCAGGCTTTGTCCCAAAGAAAAGCCCACATTACAGATGAAGAAGCTCAGCATCCAAGGTCATGACTTGCTGAGGATCACACTGTTAGTAAGAGGTAGATCCCTATTATGAAAATTCAAGTCTTTTTGCCTGTAAAGTCTCTTTTGGTTCTTCCCCAGTGCCTTCCTAGGAGGTGCTTCCTCAAAGACATTGGAAGCTGCAAAGGAGCCCTTTGCCTTCCACTAGAAAGGCCAATCTGCTCCATTTGACACTCTCTCTCTCACCATCACAGGGTAGCTCCCAAGGGGAGGAATCAGTGAGTGGTTCCCAGAGAACTTCCAGTATCTATGCTCGAGAAGCCCTCATTGAAATCGACTACGGTGACCTGTGTGAGGATCTGAAGGTGAGGATCAAACATGGGAGTGGGGAGTATCTTCCCAGCTGTCTAGAGAGAATGGGTCAGCCCATCTTGGAGCCTGTTGAGACCATGACTGGAAAGGAAAGAGCTAACAAGAAAGGAGGATTGAGCTGTGAGCCAAGGTCTCTCCCTCATGTACAAATAGACACATGTGCATCTCTTACCCTTGACCCCCAGTTGCTTGTATACATGTTTGCTGCTAGTTACCCTATTTCACATATATACATGGCAGAGCTTAGATACACAGACAAAAGGCTCCTGTACAGTAACAGACTGGCCTCAGGTGTTCCGCACTGTTATGTCCTGGGTACCCTCCTCATGTGGCATTATATCATCCTGGGTGTTTCTTTCCTTCCTCATGCTTCAGCTGCCATCTCTGTGCTAGGTCCCACAGGTTACATCAAACTCCAGCCTTCCTCCCAGATCTGTCCCTTATCCTACATGCTCTTCCAGAAATCTGAGCCTCGTGCTTGACTCCTCCCTTTCTCATTTTACGTATCAAGTCCTATTGATTCTGCCTCCTAAACATATTAAATTATTTTTTACATTTGCAACATCTTCTCTAGGGCATGCCACCTTCATCTCACACATTCTTAAAGGAGCCTCCTAAATAATTTCCTATGCTTTCCAATCCATATCACATTATCCAGAGGGACTTGATTAAAAAAAAAAAAAAACTTTATGCAAATTTCCAAACATATATAGAAGTAAGGAGAATGCTATAATGAATGCCAGGCACCCATCACCCAGCTTCAACAGTTAGCAACATATGGTCAGTCTCATTTTTTTTATACCACCATCACCATTGGACTATTTTAAAGCAAATTCCAGACATTATTGTATCCATAATTACTTCAGCAAGTGTGTCTAGAATATGAGGACTCTTAACCACAGCAGCATACCTAAAAAAGAGGAATTACTCTGTAATAATCTAATATTCAGTTAGTGTTTAGACTTCCATGAAAAGTCCCTCCCACTTTTTTCTCAGTTTATGTGTTCAAGTCAGAATCAAATTGAGAGGTCCATATGTTAAAATTGGTTGTCACTAGTCTATAACATTTTTCTATCCTTTGTTCTTTTTTTTTCCTATTTATTTATGGAAGAAACTGGGTCATTGATCTTTTAGAATTTTCCACATTCTGGATTTGGCTGATTATGTCCCCATAATGTTACTTAACATGTTCTTCATTCCCCATGTTTCCTATAAACTGGTAGGTAAATTTAGGTTTTGATTTGATTTTGATACCACTGAGCTATATCCCCAGTCTTGTGGGGTGCAAGACTGGGGATATAGCTCAGTGGTAGAGTGCTTGCCTAGCATACACAAGACCCTGAGTTAAATCCCCGGTACTGAAAAAAAAAGTCCTTTCTTTTTTAGGGGGAGGGGGCAAGAATGTATCATAGGTAGTGTTGTGTAATTGTGAACTTCCTTTTGTATCACATCATAGATATTTGTTGTCATGGTGTACTCACTTGTCTTGTGTGCGAGTTCATGCACATGCTCTTTTTCTCTCAGTCTGGTTCCAGGAAATCTGTCTCACCCACAAGGATACCAAAGTCCATGGATGCCCAAGTCCCTTATAGAAAATGCTATATTTGCATACATATAACTTATACTTGAAATCATCTCTAGATTACTTACAATACCTAATACAATGTAAGTATTTGTTACACTAGTGTTAGGGAATAATGACATAAAGTCTGTACATGTTCAGTATAGGCACATTTAAAAAAATTTTTTTTGGTACTGGGAATTAAACTCAGAAGCACTTTACCATTATGCTACATCAGGCAGGCCTTTTTGTGTGTGTGTGGGGGGGGAGGACATGATCTCACTAAATTGCTGGCCTTAAATTTGTTATCCTCCTAACAGCCTCCCAAGTTGCTGGGATAACAATTTGTACCTCCACAACCAGCTTAAAAAGTATTTTTGATCCATGCTTGGTCAAAGCAGAGGATGCTGAGGGCTGATTGTGTAAGAAACACTGAATGCCAGATGAACCTATGAAATAAAAGCACAGGGATACATTGACCAAATCTAAATTATGGGAAATTTGTTTTTGTTTTTATATATTTATTTTTGAGACAGGGTCTTGCAGTGTTGCTGAGGCTGGCCTCAAACTTGGGCTCAAGTGATCTTCCAGTCTCAAATTCCTGAGTAGCTGGGATTACATATGAGAAACTAAGGGGAAAAGATCTGATTTCATCCATAAATGAAAGAAAAGAGGGAGGGGAAGCTGTTACAGACTAAGAGACTAATCAACCCATTGAAATGTGTGCACCTTACTTGAATTCATTGTAAAGAAGAGAGGGAAGAGGGAACTTAGAAGGTAAGGGAGCTTAAGAGACGTATTAGGTAATTGCACTGTATTTGGAATCAGCTTTGGAAAACCTATAAAAATAATTTATAAAACAGGGCAAATTGAACACTGACCAGATGTTTTTAAAGTTAGAGAATTGTTAATTTTTTTAGGTTATGATAATGGTATTGTGGTTTCATTTTTTAAAAAATACTTATCTCTTACAACAGTGATTCTCATTGTTTAGGTGAGTATTTTGCCCCCAGGAGACATTTGACAATGTATGAGACACTCTTTTCAAACCCACTTGTCATGGCTTGGGCAGGGATTACTCTTAGCATCTAGTGGGTAGATGCCAAGGATGCTGCTGAAATCTTACATAGAATAGCCCCCAACAAATATTCTAACCTAAAATATCAATATACGCCTGAGGTTTAGAATCCCTGTTTTAGAGATACATACTAAAGTATTTGAGAATGAAATGAATGACTTGGATTTGCTTTGATACAATTGATTATTTTGGAGTTGGGCAGTATAGGTAACAGAGTATTGGGCATGAGTTGGTAGTTGTTGGAACTGAGCAATAGGTACATGGGTTTCATTATATTCTCCAAGGTTTTGTATATATTTGATAATTTACATAATACAAATTTTTTAAAAAGAAAAACATAATCATTAGTTTTGGGTGATCCATTTTTATAAAAGTCCCCATTACCTTTTAGCAAATTGGTTTTAGCAGATGTTGACAGTCATTGCCTAAATCTGTTAAGGGTTGTAAAAGGATAGTCTAATTCTTTCATTAATCATTCTTTGATTTATTTGTGGGATTTATTTATTTATTTGTTTATTTAGGTATTGGGGACTGAACCCAGTGGTGCTCCACTACAGATCCAAATCTCTAACCCTTTTTAATTTTTATTTTGAGAGACAGTCTTACTAAGTTGCCCAGCCTGGTCTGGAACTTATGATCTTTTTGCCTCAGCCTCCTGAAAAGTTGGGATTATAAGCATGCACCACTGTGTCTAGCAATTCTAAGAAGAATTTTGCCACATCAACTGTTCCCTTGAAATAAAGTACAACCCCCCCCCCCGCCATGAACATCCCTGGTTTCACCTTATAAAGTTTGAGTTATTAATGGTCAACTGCAGTCCAAAAATATTAAAATAGAAAATTCCACAAATAAACAAAAAGTTCTGAGTTGTGTGCCATTCTGAATAGCATGATGAAATCTCTTTCCTTTCTGCTACATCCCTGGGGACATGAATTATTTCTTTGTCCAGCATATCCACACTGCATATGCTACTCCCCCTTCATTAGTTACTTGGGCATCTTAGTTATCAAATCAACTGTGGTGGTATCAAGTAACTTTAATGTAGTTGCTTACGGCTGCCTATGTGCCCACACATTAGCTCCACTTAATCTTATATAGGCATTGTATCATATCACATCATCACAAGAAGAGAAGGGTGAGTATAGTTCAATAAAATATTTTGAGAAAGAGACTATATTTCCATAATATTTGTCATAGTGTATTGCTATAATTCTTTTTATCGTTACTCTCTTACTGTGCTTAATTTTTTGAATTAAACTCTGTCATAGATGTGTATATATAAGGGAAAAAAAACATAGACCATGGCATTCATTACTTTCTGTGGTTTCAGGTATCCACTGAGGGTCTTGAAATACATCCACTCTGGATAACAGGGGACTACTGAACAGTTAGTACAGGAAAGATAGGATAAATAAATATGTAATCCTTTTGTTTTGTTTTCCAGCTTTCAGAATGATGAATTGGTTACCCTTGTAATCTTCAAAGGTGACCAATGAGGTTTTTAATTTATATTCATTATAAACTTAACTGCTTAAGATGTGATTGATGTTTTGATTCATTGGAAGTCATTTTTCTTCTTGATGTTCATATTGTCCCATTCTTGGCCAGTGGGAGCCACTACAAATTTATCTTTTTTATTTTTAGATTTTTATTGAAAATTTCACATGCAAAAATTAAAAAATAAAATGCTCCCTCATGTACTATTACTAGTTTCAACAACCATCAGCTCATTGCCAAAATTGTTTCTTCTTCACCTCAATATACTCTGTTGTAAATCCTATATATTATATCATTTCATTTGTTAATATTGTAGATTTTATCTTTGAAAGAGAAAAAAAATCCTTCAAAATAATTAGCATCATTACCATTGTTCTAAAATAATAATTCCTAGCTGCAGATATAGCTCAGTGATACAGCATTTGCCTAACAGGCTTGAAGCCCTATGTTTAATTCCTATCACCACAAAAAAATTAAAATAATATTTCCTTGATATGATGATTGGTATCACATGTACCAACTTGTTGCATACACATTCACATTCTGTCATAGTTTGCCTTCTTGAAATGGGATTCAAATAATTTGTTTCATGGATGGATAGATAAGGAGGATTGGTAAAACCATCATTTGATATATTTCTTAAGTCTGTTTAGTCTATGGGATCCCCTGTATCCATTTTTATTTTTCTTTGTTGTTATTGAAAAAATTGACTCATTTCTCCTGAAGGATTTTCCACACTCTGTAGTTTGCTGATTACATCCAGTAATGTTTAAACTGTCTTCTCAAAGCAAAACAAAGATAGTTCTACTGTTCCCTATAGTTCCTGTAAGTGGGTAGGGCTCATGCTATCCCATTTTTGGCTAGTGGGAATGCACTCAGTTCTATAAATCAGTGCTGTTCAATAGAAAGAACATGTGACTTCATGTGCAATTTTAAATTTTCTAGTAGCCATATTTTAGAAAGTAAAAAGAAAAGAGTAAAAGTAATTTTAATACTATAATATTTAAATTAGTATATCCAAAAGTATCATTTCAGTATGTGACCAGTATAAAAAATATCATGATTATATTTTTGAGAAAAGGTCTAATTATGTTGCCCAGGCTGGCCTTTAACTCCTGGTCTCAAGTGATCTTCGTGCCTCAACCTCCTGAGTAGTGGGGACTATAGGAATGTACCAATTAGCACAGCCGGCTTTAAAAATTATTGATGAGATATTTGACAATCTTTTTTTGTACTATCTTCAAAATCCAGTATGTATTTTAACACTTACAGCACATCTCAGTTCAGATGCTAAAATAGCCTCAGAAATACTTGATCTGTATTTAGATTTCCTAAAATTTACAGTTGAAAAAGGAGACCCATATACCCAAGTTGTTCCAAATATACTTAAAAATTTTCCAGTAACTGAACTATCTGGTTTTCAATGTAAATGAGCTAAAATTCCATAAAATTAGAACTTCAGTTCCTCCATCACGCTAGCCATATTTCACATGCTCAGTAGTTTCATGGCTAGTGGTACCTCTTTGGACCACACAGATATAGAGACTTGATTAGACTTCTGGGGTTGGCTTATTTGTTGTGGTTGTGACTCCTTCACAGGTGTTCGTGTTACTTCTGTCCGTAATGTCTGGTTGTGGGTCATTTGTGTAGTTTGCAGCCATGAAGATGATTGCTTGGATCCTTTAATTAATTGGGGGTTGCTAAATGGTAGTCTTAGTCTATCATTCCTTTGTTATTAGCCATAATACATAGAGACATAATTCTCATTATTTGGTAACCCTGAAGTAGTTTGTTTAGGAAAGGTAAGATATGTGCTCAGTTCTTTCCCTTTATTCATCAGTTTGTAAAATAGTGAATTGGTTCCTTAATATTCTTAAGATTTGTCCACTGAGTTGTTTTTGTATCATTATGAATTTAAACACATTTAGTATGTTTCAGTTTGTTGTGGTTATTATCCTTGATGCTCAGATTATCCTATCTTTGGCCAGTGGGAATGCATTCAAGTTGGCTTCTGAATCATTTTGATGCAACCCTTGTAGCTTTGTCATCTTCCTTGCTTCCTGATATGTCCATGCTCATCTCTACATTTCTCAGCCTAGACCTGGAATGAGCCATTTCTTCAAGAAGCTCTGGCTTTTTTTAGTGGGAAATGTTATTATTTAGCAACTACCATCTGGACACTAGAATGCTCATGACTGCTGGGTTGGTTAGTGCTTCTAGAACTTTTCACTAGATTGGGCCACTAAATGCATTTTTTATTTTGAAGGGAAAATGCACCCTGAGTTCATTTTGATATTTCCAATTGAAATTATAATTTTCACAGTTTAACATCATTGATTTTATGTTTGAGTCTCTAATTATTCTTACTGGAAATCTTGGTTCCTAGCAACACTAACATAATAACATATTTACTATATCCTACTCTATATAATAGTTTAAAAATCACAATAAGATATTATTAGTAACAATTTGATTATTGAATGTAGTTTTAAATAGTTTAAAGATTTTGTTGAGGTTCTTTTGTCACTAAGCTCATTGGGCATGTGTAGTCATGTTGCTATATTTTAATGTGATTGAAAATAATTCTCTTGAGTATTTAACCAGCTTAATGTAAGTTAGGATTCTTTGTTTTCTGTTTTTAAGAATTATTTTTTTAGCATTTTAGTTTATTTTTTCCCTTCTTCAATTGTGAAATGTTTCAAACTTATAGAAAAGTTGAAAGAATAGAACAGCGAATACCCAAACACCTTTCACTTTAGATTCACCAATGAATATTTTACCACATTTGCTTTTTCTCGCTCTTCTTTCTCTCCCTCTCACCCCACTATACACCTTTTCTTTTCCTAAGTCTTTTGAATGAAGTACAAATGTCATGATATTTCAACCCTAAATACTTTTGGTATACAGAAAATAAGGGATTCTCCTACATAATCACAATTCCATATTGTACCTAAAAATGAATAATTATTTCATATTTACTATTCAGCTTATGTTTGAATTTCTCTGGGTGGTCCAAAAATTGTCTTTTTGTAATCTATTCTCTTTAAATTAGGATTCAGTCAAGATTTATGAATTGATTTTGGTTGTTATATCTCTTTAGTTGCTTTTAATATGAAACAGTCCCTTCACCTTTTAATCATGGCATGATCTTTCAGAGTCTGTGAGTTATCTTGGATATGTTGGTTTCCTTTCCTCTTTAACCTGCTCTTTCAACCCTGATATCTCCTATAAATTGGAACCTTGGTCTAGTCTGTAGACTCAGTGAATTTAGGTTAATTTTTTTTGTAAGAGCATTGCATTTGTGATGCAGTACACTTCATGTTGCATCTTACTAAGAAATGTATTGTATCACAGTTTGCCCATTATTAGTGACACCGAATTTGATCTCATAGTTAAAGTGTCAATTGCCATGTCCTTTAGTGCTAAACATGTACATAAACCTTCTTCATTGAAGAGTAATCTTTAGAGTGATACTTTTATAATTGTATGACATCTTCATGTGGTTCTAAAACCAAAAGTACAAAAAAATACATGGGCTGGGCACAGTGGTACATGCCTGTAATCCCAATGACTTATGAAGCTAAGGCAGGAGGATCACAATTTCAAGGCCAGCTTGGGTGACTTAGTGAGACTTTCAAAATATATATATATATATATATATATATATATATATATATAAATAAAATAAAGGGGGTTTAGCTCAGTGGTAGAGCACCCTGGATTCAATCCCCAGTACCACAAAAAATAAAGCAAGGTACATGGGATGAACTCTAGTTTATATTCCTGTCCCTTTACCTCTCTTTTTTCAATAAATCACCTTTTAATTAGTTTTTGGATTATCCTTTTCTTGTGCTTATATGCTTAAAATACAAATATATTTGCATGCAGATCTATTCATATACCTTACCCATTCTCTTAGATAAAAGATAATAGACTGTTATGCACTTTTCATACTTTACTTAAAAGCCTATCCTGGAGACCACTTCACAGCAATGTATAGCAGTGTTCAAAAGGGCTTTCTAAAATGTAAATATTTAAATCATTTGTGGCCTCTCTTAGGATAATGTCTAAACCTTATAAGACCTTTTGTAATCTGGCTTCCACTTGCCTATCTGGCTTCTCTTCCTGTGCTCTTCCTCAACACATTTGTATGAATTCATGAACATGCTCAAGCATGCACATACATATTGCTACTATTGCCATGTTGATTTTTTTGTTTGCTTTTGAATTTATTAAAGTTAATTACTCTTGAATTATTTTTAATAATAATATTTTTAATAACCCTTCCAGCTTTTGCCTTTGCTCTCAGTCTCAAAAATTGTTCCTTCTCTCTGTCCTCACCCATTCATCCTGTAGGCCTTTGCTTAGCCTGACCCCAGAGCCTGAGTTAGGGGCCCTTCTTTTGTGCTGATTCAGCATTATCTCCCTATCATTGTTTTGCATTAATCCTTTAGAATTCTGATTGTTTAGTTACATGTGTCCACTATTAGCCCCTGAACTCTGTGAACATAAGAACTAGGGTCATAGATCCTGAAAGCCCCAGTGCCTAGCACTTGGTAGGCATTCAGTAAATAGTTATTGATTAAAAGTGGCAGAAAGGCGAAAACGCAGACATATATTACAATAACTATAAGACCTAAAGTCAAACAAGTAAAATTTGCTCAGATGTAGTGATCTAAGCAGAAAATGTGAGTTGTCTTAGTTGTTGTGGAGCTGAAGGAGTCCAGAGCAGCCTGTGGGGGGGCCTGTAGGTCATCCTAGAATGGTACTGGCTCATGGCATGGGCTGAGAGCCAGAGAGGGGCACCATCAGCTGCTTTTCCAGAGACAGAGGGTTTGACAGGGCCTGGGGGAAGGGCTAGAGATGAAAAAGCCGCTTCAGCCTGTAATTTCCAGGGATGGCAGGAGCAATTAACATGGGCAGGATCAGGTGAAAGGAGCCAAGCTGGAGAAGAACTTGCCTTCTACACAGGAGCAGGTGCCCAGGCCCCACTGAGTTCATCATCTCTGAGGGGGTCCCAGCATTGGGACCAGGGCCTCCTTAATATTGCTGGGCCTGGGGTTACAGGATGCCCAGGCTGAGGAGGAAATCAAGCAGGAAATGAACACACTGCAGCAGAAACTGAATGAGCAGCAGAGTGTGCTTCAGCGAATTGCTGCCCCCAACATGAAGGCCATGGAAAAGCTGGAAAGTGTCCGAGACAAGTTCCAGGAGACCTCAGATGGTAAGGTTTGCATTTCTTTTGGGGCCTTCAGTAAGGACAGAAGGCTGCAGGTATTCTAAGGGCCTACTGTTGTATCACAACAGCTTCTGTTTTGGCATGTTTTCCTTATTTAAAACTCCCAGATACCCTAAACTGGGGAGGTTATCTTACTTGCTTTTTAGAAGGTTAAATGACCTGCTAAAGGTCACCAGCTGGTTGACAGTAGAGTCCAGGGAGGAATCCATGTTTCTTCCTTTAGACTGTCCAGCAGCCAGCCCACGGGATACAGATCATTATGAGGCCTTCTTCAGGCATTCCTCTTCCTCTGTGAAATGTTCCTTTTCTGGATAGTCATTTTCAGATCATTCTTGCCAGGGTGTGGTCCTCAACCCTGGCAGAACCCAGGGCACTGAGGAGTTGTCTGTCCTTCCTTCCGGCAGAATTTGAGGCAGCCCGAAAGCGAGCAAAGAAGGCCAAACAGGCTTTTGAACAGATTAAGAAGGAGCGCTTTGACCGTTTCAATGCTTGTTTTGAATCTGTGGCTACTAACATTGATGAGATCTACAAGGCTCTGTCTCGTAACAGCAGTGCCCAGGTAGGCTGGAGCCCCTTACCCAGCCAGCTTCTGCCATCTTCAGTTGCCCTTCCCCTTTAGGGTCCCTGTCTTTCTACCTATCCTGACCCATCTGCCTTCCCTTAGGCATTCTTGGGCCCTGAGAACCCTGAGGAGCCCTACTTGGATGGTATCAACTACAACTGTGTAGCTCCTGGCAAACGCTTCCGGCCTATGGATAACTTGTCAGGGGGGGAGAAGACAGTGGCAGCTCTGGCCCTGCTCTTTGCCATCCACAGGTAAGGCTCTGCCCCCAGGGCAGTTGGTGGAGAGACTAAACTGAGGCCACCAGAGGCTCTGGGGCCCAAGGATATGCAAAGATCTGCAGAGGTGAAAATATTCTGGTGGCATCTGGATTGCATCCCTGTTTCCATGTCTACTACAGCATATCTGGCCTTGGTTTTCCTGGACCTGTCTTCCCCATCCACCTTCATCCACTCAGCATGTTGTCACTGGCCCCTGCATGTATTCAGTCCCACCTTCAGGCTTTTGCTAACCTGGTTGCTGGCTAATAAGCCCTTTCTGTGAAAATCTAGCTTGACTGTCACCTTCCACACCTTCATACCTCCTCATTCTCCTCCCCTTCCTCTAGGAATCCCTGTTTGACCACTGTGGCATACCCTGACCTCCCTCTCCTGAACACCAGTAGTACTTGAGTCTGACCCCTACATAACTTAGTGCTTGATTATACAGCGTCATGCCGTGAACATTTCTTTAGTGCTTCTCTGTGCCAGACCCTGTGGAGGGATTGGGGACACAGATGAGTCAGACATGGTCTCTGGCCTAGAGATGCTCACAGACTAGCGGAAGGCAGACACATAAACAATGTGCTAAGTGTTGTAACTGGGTGAGCGTGGGTGCTGTAGATACATAGAGGAGAGACACCTAACCCAGTCCGGGGGAAGGTGTGGGTGGGCCAGGGAAGGCTTTTGAGGGCAAATAACACTTCAGGAGCAGTATAAAGGATGAGTTATACAGGGAGACCAGCAGGCATTCTAGACCAAGTGTGCTGCATGTGCAGAGGCAAGGAGGCATGGCAGAGCATGGTGTGTTGGGATGGGGTGGACCTCTGGATAGCTTGGTCAGTAAGACCAGAGAGGAGGACAGCTCCATCCCCCAGCCAGCCTGGAAGCTCCTGAGAGGACCCTATTTTTCGTGGTTCTCCAGGATCCTGGGGCACAGGGCTGGGTGCAGAGGAGGGCTCCATTGATGTATTGGCTTTTAGGGGCTCAGGCAACATTAAGACCTGGGTTTTTTAGTTTCTGACGAATTGAAAGGGGAAGCTGACCTGGTTGTTGGGCCTTGGGGCTGTCCCACCGTGCCTTGCCACCCACTTCCCCTCAGTGTCAGCTCACCTACTGGTTCCCTCCCAGCTACAAGCCAGCCCCCTTCTTCGTCCTGGATGAGATCGATGCTGCCTTGGATAACACCAACATTGGCAAGGTGGGTGCAAGGAAGGTGGGGCCTGGGAGGGAGACCCCCCCAGGTCGGGGCTGGGTTTCAGGGAGCAATTCCTGAGTGTGCCTTAGCCGTTCCTGCAGCCTGCTCTCTGTGCCCGGGAGGCTGGGCCCTGGGTTATCCTCAATGTGATAGTCAGTTGCCTTCTCTCAGCCTCTCTTCCTGCCCTGCTCCATCCCCAACCCCTCCCCGCCCACCTACTGGTTCTGACTGGAAAACACAGGGGAGTGTTAGGGCTTGAGCCCTGCTAAGTGCCCGGCGCCTCCCCCCACACAGGTGGCAAATTATATCAAGGAGCAGTCGACTTGCAACTTCCAGGCCATCGTCATCTCTCTCAAGGAGGAGTTCTACACCAAGGCTGAGAGCCTCATTGGAGTCTATCCTGAGGTAGGGCGGGTCTGGCTCAGGAGCCAGTCCCACTCTCTGCCTGACTCCCCAGGGCAGGAAGGGAAGGCTACAGTGGAGGGGCAAGGGGCGGGGGAGCGTAGGGAATCAAGTCCTGCACGGCCATCTGGGCTCCTTGGAGCCCTGCCCTGGAGGCTTAGCCAGCCCAGTTGGGCAAGGCTGTTGCATTTGGGGACAGGTGGAAAGACCAGGAAGAGGCAGCCAGACAGTGGAGAAAGGAGGAGAGTGCAAAAACAGGCAGGGAGAGAAGGCACATGGGACTGAGCACATCGTCTCAACACAGAGAAACATTGCCTGGGCTATGGGCAGATATGTAGGGAGGAGGGTTTGAGGCCCCTGGTCCTGGGGCGCTAGACCCCTCTTAATTCTCTCCTTACAATTTTATTTTTCTTTTTCTCCCTCCTCCTTCAGCAAGGGGACTGTGTGATCAGCAAAGTCCTGACCTTCGACCTCACCAAGTACCCAGATGCCAACCCCAACCCCAATGAGCAGTAGCAGTAGTTCTACCCTCCTGCCCTTTCTGGATTCATAAACTTCCCCTCTACCAATCTGGATATTTGGCACCCAACCTTCCCCTCCCTCCTGGTCCTGTTTGGTGTAGTCATGGGATTTAGGCACTGCTATCAAGCACGAAGAGGAACAGAGGTGATGTTAGGTCTGGAGCAAAAATTCCTGAGCTACAGGGAGCATCCTGGCCTCTGGAAGGAGGTGCTAAGCTGAGCTGAACAGGGCCATCTGTCCATACCACCCCCTCCCAGACCACCCCACCCATCACCCATTAATCATGGGTCCCTTGGGTCCCTGGCCCACTGAGTGAGTGGGTATGTATGTGTGTTTATGTATGTTTGCTTGTGTGCATGTGGGTGTGTTTGCAAAATAATAAAAGATATTGGAGACCTGTTTTAGAAAGAGCCTAGGCTGAATTTGATTCCAAGAGACCTTAGGATGACAGCACCCCAGAGCTGGGCAAAGGTACTTGGTACCTCATAGGAGTCTTAGGCAGTCACTGGAAACTGCCCTCATTTACTTATTCATACGTTCATATATTCATCAGACACATACTGAACACCCTCTATTTGTCAGGCTCTATGCTTAGAATACTAAGTTTAAATCTGACATGATCTCTGTCCTGGTAAGGAGATGTAGTGGATTCATGAATTACAGTGGTTAGCCAATTTGAGAAGAGGATGATCACCTCTAGGTTTCCTGGAGAAGATCATGTTTGAGCTGGACCTTGACAAATTGGTAGGATTTGGTCAGGCACTAGAAGCAGAACATGGGCTCTAGGGCAGACAGTTAGGGGTTCTGGTCCCGAGTCATCACTTAATAGTTGTTTGACCTTTCTGTGCCTCAGTTCCCTCATCTGTAAAATGGGGCTAATAATATTACCTACCTCATAGGATTTAATGATGTCAAGCTCCTCACTGGAGGCATTATCCATGTGGAGCCAACTAGGTGCCGACCCTTCAGAGTACAAGCCTTCTCATGCCTGGACCCTTGAGGGCTTCTGATCCTGGCTTTTAGGGACAGAAGGAACCTCCAAATCTGGGAGGTGTTCTGGTTAATGAGAAAGTTCCAGGGAGATGACAGGGTTTACCTAGTAAGTGGAGGTCCTAAGAAAGCCTGTAGCTTCAACCATGTATAACTGGGTGCTTGGGCCCCAATTTGGGTTGTGAGGAACTAGGAGGAGAGGTAGCCTGGGCCTAATATGTGATGATCCTGTTGGGACCTAACCTCATTAGCTATAAGGACAGGACTGTAGAGGCAGCAAAGCCTGGTGCAATGAGTTCAGCTTTCTTCACTCATTCACGTACATTATCATACTTTTCTTATCCTGATCATGTCTTGCTTTTTTGTTTTTTAAAAATTAAATCAACTGGGGGTGTAGTTTAGTGGTAGAGTACATGCTTAGCATGTGCAGGGCCCTGGGTTTAGGTCCCAGCTGCCCCCCCACCAGAGTTCTAACTACAAAAGTAATGCATGAATCCATTCTCTTAAAGAAATTAGATTGTTGCAGATAAAAGTAGCCTCATTCAACTATAACTACTCCCTTTCCTATTCTTTCCCCTCATAACTGCTGTTATGTTTTTTATGCTTCCATCTAGACTTTGTTTTAATATTTTTACATACATATATGAATTCACTGAAAATATTGTGTCTAATGCAAATGCTATATTGAATTGTTCTCCATTTCTTTGCTTAACAATGTTTTTGAAATCTGCGCATGTTGCTAAGTGTAGCTCAATTCATCCTCTATAATTGCTGTATAGATTGCCATCATATGACTCTACCACATTTTATTTACCCATTTCTCTTATGATGGACATTAAGACTGTTCAAATTTTGCTATTACAAAATACTACATAGGAGCATCCCTGTATCTGTGTGAATGTGTGTCTGTGTGTCTGAAAGTTTACCTGGGTTGATTCCTAGAAGTGGAATTGCAGAGTCATAGGATATTTATATATTTGTGTCTGATAGATATTTCCAAATTGCCCTCCTGTACTATTTACTAAGTATTTTTCCTGAGGTGATCTGAGGTCTAACATTGTTATCTACATCAGTTTCATTCTAAGTAGTGATATCCATGAAGTCACTGGTTTGATATGCTAATTATGTATTTTTCTAATACGTATTAAAAGGCATGACTATCTAAACAAAAAAAAATTGTCTGTGTTCAACCAAAGAAGTCACATACCACCAGTGGTACATGTGCCATAATTTGGCTAATGCTGGCACAGTTCGGGGGCCAGACCTGGTTCAAATCCTAGCCGTAGAAACCTGGGCAAGTTAGATCCTCACTGAGCCTCAGTTTCCTCATTTTATAAAAGGAGATAAATAGAATGGGGCTGGGGTAGTTTAGAGGTAGAGCTCTTGCTTAGCATGTACAAGGCCCAGGGTTTGATCCGCAGCCCTGACGAAAAAATAAAAGGAGATAAATAAACACCTACATTGCATAAGTGAAGGGAGATTATGTAAAATATATTTGAAGCAATTTAGCTGGCATATCTAGATCACCACAGCTTTTTAAAGGTAGTGATTACTATTCTCCCTGCTTTGCAGATGAGAAGACTGAGACCCTAAAAGGGTTTGTGCTTCCGTCACTTACCAGATAACAGTGTGAGCTTGAACCCAGGTCTTCCAATTCATTCTAGTGCTTTTTCCACTATAAAGGTAGTTATCAATCTTGGCTGAACTTATTTGTGAAGCTTTCCCTTTTCCCTTTTTAAATCAAAGCAATATATACACAGGTGATAATAGTACAGAAGGGCTTTAATGAAAAGCGGCAGCTCCCTGCTGCACCCCCACATCCAAAGGATTGTGGAGCTCTTTAAAAATAAATTGCTTTGGTCCCGCCTCTGGAAATCTGATTCAGTAGGTGTGGAAAATAACCTGGGTAACTAGCCCCTACCTCACAGGATAGAAAGGGCTAAGGCCCTGTCACACATGTGCTACAAAGGAGCTTCAAAGACTTATGTCCAAAGGGGGTGGGTGAGGTTCCAGTGGTTTAGTGACAGATCCTAGAGTTCCATTTGGATCTTAGTGCTTGCCTGCTGCTCTTCCCTCTTGTCCCCCAGCGCCTCCTGTCACTGCAAGGCAGTACAAGTCAGTGAAGACTGTGCTCAGAGGAGGGTGGACACCATGGTGTTTATCTAAGAGCAAGCTGGTTCCAAGTAGAATCCCTAGGGCTTGTTGGAGGAACCAAGTTGACTCCCTTATACCCTGGATACACTTGCCTTGGTTTAAGGAGTTATGAGTACTCCACAATAGTATCTTCCTTTAATTGTGTGCTTCACCCTGGGAATCAGTATGGTGCACCAGAAACAAAAAGATGAGTCAAATCATTTTTCTGCCTTTGAGGAGTTGACTATCTAGTTGGGGGACGGGGGAATTCATAAGATGGCCATTAACCATTGGTGATCAGTTCTCTTAATAGAAGTACAGGAGGGGCATCTAGCTTAGGTAGATTCAATGAAGGCATCCTCTAGTTAGGTGGTGACACCTGAATGAGACTTGAGGGACTGACTGGTAGGAATTAAAAGGAAGTAAAAGGGAATCCCAGGTAGTGGAAACAGTATGTATGCACAAAGTCCTGAAGGCAAGAAACAGCAAAGCAATTCAGGAATACTGAAGAATAAAAATCCCTGGGGTAAGGAAAGCTGGAGTTTGGTGGGTCAGTGTGATTTCCAAACTGTACACAGGAAACCCATGGGCCATTCTGGGTCCCAACCTCTAAACAGTTTCACCAAATTTAATTTTCTTAAATGCTTTTAAAGGTCTTATGACTAGTATGCTGCAGACTGGGGCCCGTAGTTTGAAGGTAGTAGGGAAACCATGAAACTATTTTTAAGCAGAGGGCACTCTAGATATGAATTACCTTGTTTCTGGCTAGCCAGCTGGGGTGAAAATGGATTAGATATTCATGCTGGATGCACCTGTGCATGTAAGTTTCCCTGTTATTCAACTTCTTGCACTCTATTATATATTCCCTTATTTTGCTCTAAATAACCTGTATGCACCACAAGGATGAGTCTGGGGATATTTGCTTGCCAGTACATCCCTTGCAGAAAGCAACAGTGCCTGACAAAATAGGCACCTAATAAAATATTTGAATGAATGAATGAATGCATTTGTGAGAAAAGAATGAAGACAGGGTGATTAGTTAGGAGAGACCAAGAAGCCTGCTGTAGAGCAAGGGCAATAGGAATGGAGTGGAAGTGATAAGGTGTGAGCTGTTCAGATGGTGAACTGGACTTGATGACTGATTATTGGATGTGGAGGGTGACTGAGAGGATAGAATGAGTACCCACGAATAGCCAAGATTCCTGCCCTATCCCAGTTGTCTCCTCATCCATCTCTGAATCAGAATCTCCTTCCAGCCTCCTCAGCACCTGGAGCATCTTCCTCAAGTCAGTTCAACATTCTGTGTGCTTTGTGGTCTCTCACTTCTCCCACCCCAGCCATTGATTCATTCATTCAGTTCAATAAATCTTGGCTAAGCACCTCCTATGTACAGTGAGGCTCTTTCAAGCCATGACTCTGACTCCCTCTTTCCTACCTCAAGAGATGTTTTTGAGGGCTTTCCCAGGTAAGACTCATTCCTTATCCAATAACATATAGTGAGATGCCCAAATATTGACCTGCAAGGGAACTGAGAGGCTGCCCAACCCCTTCCTGAGGCCCTCAGAGGGGAATTAGCTTCCTAAGGTTCCACTGCTAGAAAGAGTTGGAGCCAGAACTGGAACCCAAGTTCCCTTTGCACATCACCTCTAGAGCCTCGGTCTTGGTCTGTCCCATTGCAGATCAGGACAGGCAGAGGTGGTCAGGGAGAATGTGGGACTTAGGTTGAGCCATGAAGGTCAATGTACTGTATAGGCTAAACAAGATGCTTGCCAATTACACTGCCCCCTTTTGGAAACCCTCAGCAAACCTGCCATGCCCTCAGTCCTTTATAAGAGGTTTCTTTAGCATAAGTTGCCATGCTCTGTACCATGTGACCTCACAGACCTGGCCATAGATGGCTAGATTTGGATAGTACCTGACTAAAGACGGCCAATCTCTAGGCTAGCCAGAAGCCTATTAGGTGGACTTGGTGTAAGGATTCCGCCTCATAGAGGTGGTGTGTTTCTAATGGCAAATGCATGAAACAATCAGATCTTCAAGGGAGCCTAAATATGAGGTGTTCAGAAGAAGTGGACAATTAGAATTTAATGAGGCAGAAGTGGTGGTGGATGAGGGGTAGCCAGAAACTAAATAGCAAAAGCAAAGAGAAAGCTTTGAAAGTCATAAGTCATGAGATATTTACATTATGAGATCATGGAGCCACAAGTTAACTAAAGCCATGAAGCAGCAAGGCAACAATGGGCCAAAAGGATGTAGAAGCCATGAAACAATAGGAGCCTTGAGGAACAGAATACATGAGCCAAAACTGATCATGTGAGATCCATGAAGCAGCAGAAGGCTTGAAGAGACAAGATGCATGAGGCATCAGAAGCAATGAGACTGCAAGAGCAACGAAGTAGCTGGAACCACGTGGCAGCAAGGCAACAGGAATGGAAGAGGCAGCAGGAGTTAGAATGCAGGCAGAAGCTACAGCAGAGAAGCCATGGATTAATAGGAACTGAAGCCCCAAGAGCCTCAAAGCTGCAGGAGCTGGGAGGCAGCAGAAGCCATGGGCTAGCAATGAGGGAAAGAAGTTAGTCAGTAGCAGTAGGAGGAGTATAAATACAGCCATAAAGTAGTTGAGTCACCATTTTGGGAAGCACTAGAGAAGGTAGCAACAGATGCCTGCAGCTGAGGGGGTGACAAGATAAGCCAGGCTCTAGAGCTGCTTTGGATCATGAACCATTTTCAAGTTTCTGTTCTTCAGCAAGGCTGCCTGTGTAACTGTTCTTGTCTTCCTTATTTCCTTGTGAATGCTTTAATAAATCCCAATCACTAACTTGAATGTGTCTTTGTTTCTTACAATCTAAAAGAGGTTAACACTGTGGTGTGCAGTTCAGATGGGTGGAGAGCAGGGCTAAGATTTTTCTGGTGGGTTTGAAGCAAGATGTGAAGGTAGGAATTCATTCTCATGCCCTTACTGGCATATGCATTTTTCATTCACTTATTGGCTAATTTTTCTCATGCATCTACTTATCATTTGTTCATTCATTATTTATGCACTAACTCATACCTTATTCACTTTTTTATTCATGCATATGATATATGAGCATTTATTCATTCATTTGTTTTTTGCTGTATTCACTCACATCATTTTTCCATCCATTTATTCTACAAATATATTTTGAATTCCTGCTGCATGTCAGGCCCTGTACTAGGTTCTGGGGAATTACCCTTCTGGGAATTTTCAGTTTAATTGGGGACTCAAATAATCAGGTAAGTGCACTAAGTGTGGTAGGTGATACAACAGAAGTCTAGTTGAGGCAAAGTGAGCATATAGGAAATATTGGATGGTTCTTCCTGGAGTGGGGCAGGTTGGAGGAATTAGAAAAGCTTTTATAGAGGAAGGGGTACTGGAACTGAGTCTTGTTTACCATGTGGGAAAAAGAATGAATATTCCAAGCAGAAGAGTTGCCTAAGCAAAGTTGTATGGATAGATTTAGAGTATTACCCATTGCAGTGGAAGAAGTGCTGGAAGTCAGGTAATGAAGTTTATCTTTGATCCCATGAACAATGGGAAGCTGTAGTAGGGTTTGTAGCAGGGGAGTGACAGATTAGTATTAGAAATCTCAGACTGGTAGTGAAAAGATTGGGGGCATGAAATATTGACCTAAATAATGTAGGTTTATAATATATGCAAAGTGTATGTAAATATCATTCATAATTGGAGGCATGAATGAGTACTTATGGAAGCCCTTGAGGAGGGAGAGGTATTCTATGAGGGGACTCTAAAAACATTTAGGAAGAGGTGGAATTATTCAGTTAAGCTTTAAAGAGTAGGGAGGATCCCAATTGGTGGAGATCTGGAAAGACTTTCCAGGCCTGTTGAGATGAGATGTAAGGAGATGAGAGTAGATATGCCATGTTTGGGCTAACATTCCAGTTTGGAGCAGGGGCTGCTTTTAAGGGAGAGGCAGAAGAGAAACTGCAGGGTTTCCCAAACTATATTATATTCTGCTGCAATAGTTCTGGAAGGACAAGGAAATTTGGTGGGGAGGGGAGTCATGGATAAGAGTGTTGCTTTGATTTTTGGATGATTTTTGTTTTGTTTTTTGCTTTTTAAAACTAATTTTTTTTCCTTAAAGTTCATTTTATTTAAAAAAATATTATTTTAAAATAGAAGTAATACATGCATGTTATAGTAAAATCAAATCATATGGAAGGACTTATAAAAAGCAAGAGTTTGCACTGCCCCACACATTCCCACTCCCACTCTTACTTTCAGCACCCACTTTCAGTTATTTCTTCCCATTGTTATCTTCATATCTAAATAATATGTGGGCATTTTTTAAATTATCAGTTTTAGACATTACATACTGATATCCTCTGTGACAGATAAGAATTTAGATCATTTATACCAAACTCTCTTTCTGCTTCTAATATAGTTAAGTTTATTGGTTAACTTTTGGAATTTATTTAACAACTTTGTATTTTGTTCCATGAACTAGAGACAATATGTCTTGATTAGTACTTTGCTAGATGAGAAAATAGACTTTTCTTTTAGCCCTCATTCCCACTGTTAACCTCCCAACTTCTGTCATCTAGCTTTTTATATTGTCAAAGCTGACAACATTGAATTCTGTAAACATGACTCAGGGGTTTGGTTTGGTTTTGGTATTTTTACTATTATTTGATTCTAAAAGTTGAAAAGCAGTAAATAGCTATTAATATCAATATGACTATAAATATTTTTACTTTGTTTTAAAATCTTGAGACAGGGTCTCAGTGGCCCAGTCTAGACTTGAAGTTATAATCCTCCTGCGTCAGCCTTTCCAGTCACTGGGATTACAGGTGCACACCACCATACCTGGCTATATATTCTTCCTTTTAGGGCCAAGAAGTTTTATGATTTTTTCTTACAACAATTTTTCTTTTCTGAAGTTTCTAACTTTTCTTATTTTACTATTTTATTTGATTTATATTCCATTTTTTCCTTTCAAAATTCCTATTAACTCTCTGAATTACACCAATTCTACTTTATGTCTCCTAGAAGACCTTCTTCCTAGAGCCCTTCATTCCCTTTTCAAATCTGGAAGTTATTTTCTAAGGCCTAATTCATAGCTTATCATTTTTGGATTTCCCTTCACTGCTTTCCATGATTATATCCACTATTTACTAATTCCCAGGGTTTTTGTTTTGTTTGTTTTTCCCATCAATTTGATGAAGCACATCCTTAAGTAACTTTCTCAGAAAAGCTGTATAGAAAGTCATATTCTTGAGTTTTTGCATATGTAGAAATACCTTTATTCCATCCTCACCTTAATTATAAAATTCAGTATCATTTTCCCATGTAATTTTGAAGGCATTGCTCCACTTTCTTCTAGCATCCAGTTTTGATGATAAGTCGCCTTAGAATCACAAATTCAAGGTCAGTGTTGGCAAATTAGTAAGACCCGATCTCAAAGGAAAAAATAAAAAGAACTGCAGATGTAGCTCTGGTAAATTGCCCCTGGGTTTCATCCTCAGTACAGAACAAATAAAAATCTGATTATTAGTCATAGATTTACTGCTTTGTATATATCTATCCTCATCACTTTTTCTCCTCTCCTTTCAGGACCCCAAGCACACAAATGTTGGATCTTTTCTAATTGTCTCACAGGTCCCTGAGGTTGTGTTCATTTTTCCCCAGTCTACTTTTTTCTGTTTTCCAGATTGGGTAATTTCTATTGTTCTATCTTCAAGTTAACTGATTTTTTCCTGTGTCCTTTCCATTTTGCTGTTAGTCCAACCACTGAAGTTTTTACTTTTCAGTCCTAAATTATCCATATGGGTTTTCTTTATATCTTTCACTTCTTTGTAGAGTTCCTACTTTTTCATTTGTTTTGAACATGTTGCTAGTTTGTTGATGCATTTTTTATGGTAGCTTGTCAGATCATTTTAACATCTCTGTCACCTCAGTGTTGGGGTCTGTTGAGTGTCTTTTCTCATTTAAGTTAGATTTCCCTGGTTCTTGGTATGATGAGTGATTTTCAGTTGAAACCTGGGCATTTGGCAATTGTGTTATAAGATACTGAATATATATATATATATATATATATATATATATTTTTTGAGGTAGTGGGGATGGAACCCAGGACGTTGCATATGCTGCAAGCACTCTACTATTGAGCTACATCCACAACCAAGATGCTAGATCTTATTTAAATATTCTGTTTTAGCTTCCCTCCTCCAACACCACTCTGGCAGTGGAAGAGGGGACACTGCCTCATTAATGTCAGGTGGGTGTTCAAATCCAAGTACCCACTCTCCATTGAAACTGTAGGGAGAGTTTCCTCCTTAGTGATATGTGGGGATAGGAGTTCCAGCTACCTATGCAACCTTCTTTGACCATACCTCAGTGGGAAGAGAGAGGGACAATCCATTTACAAACAGTGGGGGTGGAAGTCTAGGTTCCCTTATTGGTCTTTATACTAGTGCAGTGAGTGTGAGGCCACAGCTTTGTTCTATGGTTCTTGAGTGGAGTAGAGCAGTTATTTTCTAGTTGATGGCTTTTCTGACCATAATTCTGGGATAGCTGAGGTGAAAACTAAAATAACTTACCACCCTGTCACTTCTCTACTATCTGGTTCCCTACCACATTTGCCACCATCTTTCCACTTTTCTGAGTCTCTTGTTTACATATAATGTTGAAAGACTTTAATTGTAGTTTGTGGGAAGAATGGGAAAAGTATTTCTTTTACTTCATTTACCCCTTTCCTGTTATTTTTAAACAATTTTATTTTTGGTGTTCTAAAGTTTCATAATTATGTGCTTCAGTTTGGGATCTTGTGTCATTCATTGGCCTGATCACATTTTACATCCTTTTATTTCCCTTTAACTCTGGAAAATTCTCTTATATTGTTCCCTTGATATATTTTTCTTCTTTATTTTTTTTTCTCTTCTGGAAATAAAGTTGGGTGATGGAATTCACAGATATGTCTTTTACAATTTTTTATCCATTATCTCCTGTTTTCCATCTCTCTCCCTTTTTTTCTTTCTCCTTCCCACTCCCCTTCCTCCCTTGCTTTCTCTCTTCCTTTTTTTTTTTTTTGTTTTTTTTTTTTGTTTGTTTCCTTCTGGGGGAAGATTAACATTATCTCTCAACCCTTCTGTTGCATTTCTTTTTATTTGACAATACATTTATTTTAAATTTCCAAGTATTCATTCATTTATCTTTTCCTTTTGGTAGCGGGGTACTGGGGATTGAACTCAGGAGCACTCGACCATTGAGCCACATCCCCAGCCCTATTTTGTATTTTATTTAGAGACAGGGTCTCACTGAATTGCTTAGCGCCTCACTGTTGCTGAGGTTGGCTTTGAACTGACGATCCTCCTGCTTCAGCCTCCCGAGCTGCTAGGATTACAGGCGTACACCACCATGCCCAGCTATCTTTTCCTTTCTTATAGCATCCTGTTCTTGTTTTATGGATGTATTATAATCTTGAATCTGAGATAATACAGGTATTTTTATATCTCCTTCTATTCTTTGAAATATCTATTTCATTTGGGATTGTTTTTTTTCCCCTTGATTGCTTATTTTGGTCTCTTTATTACATGTTACAGTCTATTCTCAAAGAAATCCTGATGATCCATGGTTGTTTACTGGTATTTTTAAACGTAGCAATGAAAATCTGATTGGAAACTGTGTATGGGGGCAGTGCTAAGCAACTGGTGATTTTCCTTTAGGATAATTAAAGAAAAGCTGACTGCTGTGCTACAGACTCCCTGAATGGCCAGAATGTTAAGGTCTTTTCTCTGAAATCGTTCAGTTCCTTAGAGAAGAACCCTCTGGTTTTGGACTAATGGGTAGACACCTGGCTGCTTTGAATTGTACACAGGGCAATGGGTTGATGGTTTGATATACAGCCTTCCCTGTTTTCAGCCCTACATCCCACTCCTAACCCTTCATCATACTTGGCATTGTCAAGACCCAAGACTCTCCAGGCTTCTGCAGAGAAAGACCAACTCCTTCCTCAGAGACATCTCCTCCATACATACTCCAGGCTATGGCTCCCTTCACCATGCTTCATCAGTCACCATTTCTCCATTTACTTCTTATCTTCCAGAAATTTGTTGAAATCTCTTTTGTGGATGGACCTGCTCCCATTCTCTTCATCATTGTGTTTTTATACTTTTTTTTTTTTATTCCTTTATGGTCATTTTAACAGGATCTCAGGAGGGAGTGGAGATAAATACATGGTAAGTCTGTCATCTTGACCTGAAAATCTACTAGTCTACCTTTAACTGTTTTTAGTTTTTCTGGTGATTATCCTCATATCTCTAAATAATATACATATATTCTATTTATCAACTTATCTATCAATTTTAGTCATTGTCTGTTGATGACCTGCTATTTATGCCAACAAACTACTCTCCTCCTATGCCTTCAGTATAGAGATGTCGCCAGTTATATATCCTCTATTCCTTACCTTTTAACCTTTAACTAATAGATTTCTATTTCTTAATTCTGTCTTCTTTACTTTTATATTAACAAGGTTAATAATATTTTAACATTCTGTCTGTAACCATAATTAAGTCATCTGTACTTTGTTGATAGTTCATTCTAAAAGTTTAAATTCAATAAAGTGTTTCTGCTTTTATGATTATGTAAATATTGTTCCATAAAGATCCAATAGGATTACATTTCTTTCTGTATACAGTATTTTTTCCTGTAGTTTCTAAATGCCTTTCTTTTTTCCCTTGCATTGCCTGACTTTATCATCTTCTCAATTTATTTCAAATTCTCAAGGAAAGTATAAAATCATTTGAATCCCCTTTTTCCCCAGATACCTTCCTCCTGGAGCCTCCGTCTTCCTGCTCCAATTTGGACTGATTGCTCTGTAGGCCTGCGGCACAGCTGTCATCCTGGGACGTCCCTTCATTACTCTTCTGGGTTGGACCCAATCTTTCTTGGACCCCATATCTTCCTCTTTCTTAATTATTCCCTTGTAGTGGACATTGTGGTTATTTTCCAACATCCATTCCACTTCTCCCCCATTGTATAACAACTGTGCAATTTGAGTGGGATTGACCCCACCAGCAGCTCTAGGTATAGGCCTTCATTGGTATAAATTGATCTGAGTAATTTCATCCCCCAGCTAAGTGATGATTGGTTCAGGGATGATCCAGTCACACTGAGGCTTAGGAATTTTGTTCAGCTTTAGAGGGAAGAGATAGCCCCTCTTCCCTGTATATGAACAAAGAAGCATGTGGCTTTGTTGCTGCTGTTTGCCATGTTGTGAACATGTAGAAGGCTTACCTGAGGATGGAACTGACAAGTGGAGGAGGCAGAACCAAGAGAATCACAAAGAAATGGAACCATATTCCAGATCGTACCAGACCTGAAGTCTCCCCACCTATGGACTCCTAAGTTAAGTGAGCCAATAAATTGCATTTACTTTTTAAGCCAGTTTGAGTTGGGTTTTCTATTGTTTATACCTGAAAGCATTTTAATTTGTTTTTGGTGTCTCCCTTTGGAAAGGATGAGTACAGATTTGGTGATTTGAGGTATATTGTCACATGGAAGCATTTTTTCAAAGTGTAAATATGGGAGAAAGGATATATGTGGGTGTAGGACAACCAAGTGAACTCTAATGTTGGCTTAGTATCTAAATCCTATTACCATTTTGGGGACATTCCCCCCTAGTGGGAGTCTTGGTCCCCGGATTTTCTCCTATGGGAACTAAAGGTGGTCAAATAGTTCCTCTCCCTGTCCAGCAGGTAATAAGGGCTGAATACTCTGTTCACAGCTTTCAATCTGGAGTCAGCAACACACAGAAACCAGAAATACACAAATTAACAGAATGATAATAGATGAAGAGACTATATTTGTAATGTTTTAAATTGACAGAAGATTGATCAATAAAAAAAGGAGATAGTAAACCCATCAGGAAAGTGATCATAGGATATGAAGAGTAATTTACACAGGTAGAAACTTGAATATATTAAGAAATTTTCAACTCTGCTAATAATTAGAGAAATGAGAATTAAAATAACAGTGAGAAATCACTATAAAAGTGGTAACATGTAGAAAGTTAAATATTATCATTTGCTGATGAGGAAATGTGAGAAAAAGGACAATTATCGATGGGAGCATAAACTGGTACAGCTATTCCAGAGCAGTTTGGCAGTCTCTTACAACATTAAGTATGTATATACCATGCAATCCAGAAATCCTATTCCCCAGTGTATATTCTAGAGAAATTCTCACACAGGTCCTAAGGAAATAGAATTGAGGTTGTTTATTGCAGCATTGTTTGTGGTAGTGGAAATTGGAAGCAATCTAAGTGTCACCATGGGACTGGATAAGCAAACTGAAGTATATCCATAGGATGGAAAAGTATAAAACAATTAAAAGCAGTAAGCTACATTTACATATAGCCACATGAGTAGATCCCCAAACCTAGTTTTGAATGAAGAAAGCAAGAAACAGTAAGATTTATAGCATAATATTTATATAAATGTAAAACAACAGTGTGTATTTTCATGGGTATGCATATATCTAAATAAACATATGGAAGATGGATCCAAAGGATAAACACATTAATTACACTGGAGAGGTTCACCACAATGGACAGGAGAATGGAAGTGAGCATGGGAACTGAGAGGGCAAAATAATAAAGGAAAAGAACAGCCACATAATGCACAATGAATCAATGATTATGATTAACTGAACCCTGAAGTCCACAACAAAGAAGGCAAAGTAACAAATGCAAGGATGTAGAGTTCACGTGCAGTGGCATATGATGGTAGGTAGCATCATGTGCACTGGGAGCAGCAGTGGGGGTGGCAGTGGTTGCCTTCCTACAGTAGGACCTTAGCTTTCGTTTCTCCTGCCTAGCCTCTGCCCACTTTCTTAGCCCGATTCTTTGGACTCCTATGAGTTACCTGATAACCTTGCAATAAATACCTTTTCTGCTTAAGTTTACCAGCATCGTTTCCGTTATTTGCATCCAAGAATCCTGACTGATAGATCATGCATTTTGTTGGAGAAGAATACTCAAATAACTTCTTGAAAAAGGTAAATTTCAGGCTCTTTAAATGTCGGAAACATGTTATTTTTACCATCATACTTCATTGATAGTTTGGTTTTAGAATTTTATGTTAAAATAATTTTTCCTCTGAATTTTGAAGGTATTACTTTTAACACATGGTGTTTCTGATTAGAAGTCAGATGTTAACATTATTTTCATTCCTTTGGTGGCAACCTGTTTTCACCACTTCTGGGAGCTTATGTTTTTTTTTTTCCTTAGTTGATGTTTTGAAATGCCACAGTAATATGTCCAGATGTGTGTTTTCCCCCATCTATTTTGCCAAGCACCAAAAGAGTGGGTCCTTTTAGACTTATATCCCTCTATTCTGACAAATTAGTCTTTTATTTCTTTGCTAATTTTCTTTATTTTGTCTATTCTTTTTATGACTCCTATTAGTTGGATGTTGATCTTCTTGGATGGCTTGTCTTTGCCTCTTTATTTTCTCTCATAATTTATCATCCCCCCATAAGTGTGTTTCTGTCTGTCCATTACTCTCAATTTCTAGGCCTTCATTTTTCACTTGTTTATTTTTTTTTAATGTGATGCTGAGGATCAAACCCAGGGTCTCGCACATGTGAGGTAAGCGCTCTACTGCTGAGCCCCAGCCCCAGCCCAATATGCCTTCATTTTTAAATTCTGTATGCTGGGTCTTTTTTTTTTTTAACTTTATCTTTTATTGGACTTTTTAATTTTGGCAGTCATTTTTAACTTCTAAGCATTCTTTCTTATTCTCCAAAGGTACCTTTAAAAATATTTTAACTGACATATAGTAATTGCATACATTTATGGGATATGGTGTGACATTTCAATACATGTATACAATGTGTAACAATCAGATCAGGGTAATTGGCATATCCATCACCTCAAACATTTATCATTTCTTTGTGTTGGGAACATTCAAAATCCTCTCTACTAGCTATTTTGAAACGTACAATTAAATGTTGTCAACCATAGTTACCCTACTGTGCCATAAAATGTGAGGAGTTATTCCTCCTATTCACCTCCCCTCTCTACCTGTTAATCATACTCTCTACATACTCCCCCACACACACTTCCCAGTCTCCAGTAACCCAGAGGGGTCTTTTTCATAGCATCCTTTTTTCATTTTTTTAATAGGTGCAATATCTTCTTTGTATGTGTGCTTAATAGTACTTTACTGGAATCTTGGGGATAACAGCAGATAATTAGCAGGCCAGAAAGGAAAAATTAAAATGGATAACAGATATTACCTCTCCAAGAGAATGTCACTCATGCCCCTCTGGTGGCGGGGGGGGGGGGGGCTGCTTCCTGGCTGTCCGTCTCCATAGACCCCTAACCTGATAGCCTGTATGGCTCAGATTATCTTCCACCAACTATATAGTTTTAGCCATGTGCTTCCCACCTGCATTACAGAGCCCCAGCTTTCACCTTGGCATCAGAGAAGAGGTCATTTTCCCATTCCTTACTCCCAGACTAGCTCATTTCCTGCTCCAACATAGCTCTCCATATGTTTATGTTCTTTCTGGTACATTTTCATACCCACCTTACAATGGTGACCCTGGTCCCCGTGGCCCACACATGGTGATCACAGTAGTCAGCAGCACATTTCACAGAGTGGATGGTTTATTAGTTATATTAACAATATTTGTAGTGGAACCAATAATCCAAATCTCATTCCTCTTTACAGGGATCCCTCCAACAGAAGTCAGTCAACAGCTGCTCAAATGTGCATGTCTCCTAATGTACATTTCTCAAAAACAAATAATAATTTTCAGTGACAGTCCAGTCCAAACCCATGTTTAAGATTTTAAAAAATTAACTCAGTGGAAGCAGAATACTCCTAACCTATACTCAGATTATGTCACTACATGGAACAGTTAACATTTTAATCATGGTGGATAATATTTGCTTACTCTGTACCCAGCACTTGAATTGCCTTCATTTTATAAAGAAGGAAAGTGAAGCTCCCAGGTGTCATTCGCCCAAGGTCACAGAGCTAATAAATGGCAGACAGGAAATTGCACCAGGACATTCTAACCACAGGCAATCCACATAACTGCTACACAGAGCTGCCCTGTTTTCCACCAGCCAAATTCAGAATAATGGTGATAGCACAATTTTCTCTGTTTGATGGGTAGATACCTAAGATTAAGTGATTAGCCTATTCAGGTAGGTTTGCTTCCATGGTGAACGGATGCCCATTGCTCTGGAGACAGAAAACTACTACCAACTTTTAATTTCTAAACTTTTTTGTTTGTTTTATGGTACTGGGGATTAAACCCAGGAGCACTTTACCACTGAGCTAAATCCCTAAACTTTTTTTTCATAGAAACCATAACTTTATTTTTTCATTTTTCCAAAATAATAAATATAGTTTAAAAAATAAACTAGGGGCTAGGGTTGTAGCTCAGTGGTGGAGCGCTTGCCTAGCATTTGTGAGGCACTGGGTTTGATCCTCAGCACAACATAAATATAAATAAATAAAAATAAAGGTATTGTGTCCATCTACAATTAAAAAATATTTTTTTAAAAAATAAACTATTACTAAACCTACTAAAACCCAACAATATCCTGCCTTACTCCTTCTGACTGCAAGTCTTATTTCCTAGAGGCAACGACTATCAACTATTCAACTATTTTAACTATTATTTTGTTTGTTTGTTTTTTGCTGCTGCTTCTGGCTTTTATTATTCCAAACCCAATTCTCCCTTGCTCAGAGGCTTTCTTAGCCTCCTTTGCAGCTAAGAATGGTTATACGACCTAGCTATAGCCAATGAGATGTTTGCTGAGGCCTTCTGGGAAAGCTTTGATTTCCTGAGCAAAGAGACTCACATAGCTGATCTTGTCCCCTCCCTTCTTGTTTCTGCCTGGAATATAGTTGTACTGCCTGGAGCCATGACAGCCATCTTGTGAACATGAAGAGATGAGCATGAGGATGAAGACAATACATTAAAGAAGAAAAAATTAGAAGGAATTTGCTTCCCCACCAGGCAGCTGAACCCATGTAACACTTCCTGTTAATTTAAAAAGTGAATGAATGAATAAATAAAGCCTTATGTGTCTAAGCCATTGTCAGTTGGGTATTTTTGTTGCTTGTATCTGAAAGGATTTTTAACTGATGGACCACAGTGATTTTTTATAATATGCTTACACTATTTTTACTTAGCCATTTGAAATATTATCTCTTGATATCACATAAGGTGGATGAGGATTTTTATCCCCCTCCATATACACCACTATTTCCTTCCCTTCTTTTTTTCTAGTATGTGTGTGTGTGTGTGTGTGTTGCTAAGGATGGAACTCAAGACCTCACACATGCTGGGCAAGTGCTGTACCACTAAGCTATATCCCCAGTCTTCTTCTGTCTAACATGTTTATCTCTCAATTCCTAATAAATTAGTATTCACTACAAAGCTAAGGAATGTGCTATTATTACCTGGATTATTTTTTGAATTCTCTTTTGTTTTCCTGAATTTAATAATTGCCTGATTTTTTTTTTACTTATGCCATGCCCAGCCACAATTATTCCATTTGTTTCATCAGTTCATAAATATTTTCACATTTTTCACAAATATTCAAGCCTATCAACTCATTGATTAAAGAGATCAATAAAAAGTTGATTGATTTGGAACCCTATAAAAGAAAACAGGGCTTTATCAAGTCCACTGTTATTCTTCCCTTTGTGGTAACTGGTGGACACCTGAGCAATCTATTGGAGGACCTATAAGTCAGAAAGTGGAGGACTTTGCTTTGAAACTGATTTCTTTGGAGAACACTCATATTTTGCTGGAGTATAGGTGCTTGGTTCTTGTAATTTCTTTCCCCATGAACATGGGGAAGGCAAAGGAAAGGTGGGAAAGGTCAATGGTTCCAATGTGCTCGTTTTCTTTCTCCCCCCCCCCCCGTCTCTCTCTCTTTTTGTGGTACTAGAGATGTACCCACCAAAATACATCCCAGCCCTTTTTATTTTGAGACAGTCTTACTAAATTGTTGAGGCTGGCCTCAAATTAGCAAACCTCTTGCCTTAGCCTCCCAAGTAAGTTGGTTTACAGGTGTGTGCCACTGCTTCTGGCTCCAACATGGACTTTAAATTAGCCCTTGCTTGGTGCTCCATGTCTTAATTCTACCATCAAGGTGCCTTTTCTGTACCTCTCCAGGGTTTGCAGGGTGGATCAGCTCTCTTCTGCTGGGTGGCCCCCAGGTGTGGACTATGCTTATGCCTTTTACTGCCCTGCTTTCTCAGTCACTGCCCCTCCAGCCCTTTTCTGCTGACCAGATCATTATCAAAATCTCTCCCATGGATGGGAACTCTTTGGAATTAGTTTATGCCCTTGATTCCTTTGCTCTTAATTTATGGAATCTCAGGAATTAGAGGAGATAAATACATTCCACCTTCTTTTTCTTTCTTTCTTTTTTTTTTAAATACCAGAGATTGAACCCAGGGACACTTCACCACTGAGCTAAATCCCCAGTATTCTTATTTTGACTTATTTTGATACAGGGTCTTACTAAATTGCTTAGGGCCTCACTAAATTTCTCAAACTTGTGAGTCTCCTGCCTTAGCCTCCTGAGTTACTGGGATTACAGGCATGTGCCACCACACCTGGCTCTACCTTCTTCAATGGCAATTAGAATCTGAATTTTTAACTGCCTCCAGATTATTTGGATATACCAAATATGTAGACCAACATCTGTGAGCCATCAGCAATGGAAAAAGCATGGGTTTGGGAATCTTAGATTTGAATTTGAATTCTGAGTCCCTGACATCCTCACATCTATGCACCTCAGTTTCCCCTCCATAACATAATGTCCTGGGTAGAATACAGTTCCAGATAGAATAATAGAGTCTACCTGATAGAGTTTGGGGTAAAATTTCCTTAGGTACTATACATAAAGCATCCAGCACAGGGCTTGGCAGACAGTAGGTGTCAAAAAATAGGAGTGATCACTTTTTAATGGGAGCAAGTGAGAAATGCGATTGGAAAGAATTGAATCAGGTTTTAAGAGGGCCTGGAATGCCAGGACTTATTCTTGTAACACGGAGGAATCTTGGCAAGCTTGTCAGCAGGGGAGCAAATGGATTCTAAAGGATTTGGATTGTTTCCTCAGTCTGGTCGGGGGAGGGAGCAAGAAGCCCTTGGCCCAGCAGTTCTTGGGTTAAAATCTTCGTCTGCATCTGAGTTATTTGTAACCCGTTGTCATGGCAACAAGTTTGGCAAGCGAGCCAGTGCTGCAAGCTCCTGACAGTGGGGAGGGGAGGGCAGTGGGAGAAGACGGAAGATTTGGAAGGGGGTTCGTCTGTGACCAGCACCTCACTTTCCTCTGATTTGCCTGAAGCTTTCAGCTGGAGATGAGGGTGAGCATCCTCTAGGGAGAATCATTGGATGTTGGAGACTCTCCTTCCCAATCTCCTGACGTTTCAGATGTGAAAATAGGCCAAGAGAGGTCCAGCAGCTGGCTCAAGGCCCCACAATAAGTCAGGGACTGAGACAGGACTAGACTTTTTGTTTTTGTTCTTTTTTATTCGTTTTCTTTGGGAGGTGGGGAGTCTCACTACCCATGTTACTCAGGCTGGCCTTGAACTCCTGAGCTCAAGCAATCCTTCTGCCTAACCCTCATAAATAGCTGGGACTACAGGCACATGTCACTGTGCCTGGCAGCACTAGACTTTTTTTTTAAAAAAGGATTCAGGGTCATAGAATTGAAGCATAACACACTAGAGGAAGCCTCTGAAAACATTTAATCCATCTTCCCATGAACATGCATGCATATGTCTTTTTGTTGTTCTTGTTCATATAGGAAACCTGGGACCCAGAGTGGTTTAGAACTGACTTAGCGTCACACAGCATTTTTTTAATAGAAAGATCCTTATTATTTTAATTTTTTTCATATTTTAATGGGTGCATTATAGTTGTATTCACACAACAATTTTGATGCTGCCTTGAAATCAGAACCCAGAGGCCTCTGGCCTCCCAGGCCTGAGTACTTCCTGAGGAAATGGTAGTCTGAGATTCACAGTTCAGAGAAGTCCCTCTCTGTTGACTGCAAGATGTGGCATCCTTGAGTAAGACTGATTTCACTGCATCGGCCTCTGACATCCCCAAATCCAACACACATGTGTTTGGGTCACATTTTCCCTGCATACAGACACACACACCCTTCATCTTGCATGTGTGTCCTCCTGCCTGTGGCAACACTATTGCACAAGTAGCAGCCCAGAGCCACCCCTATCATGTCCTAAACACACCTGCCACTTGCCTTCTTCTCGAAATCACCCATAGGGATAGGCACTTCCTGAGCATTCTCTTATGTAAGTCAGTTCTCACAATTATCATTTTCTTTCTCCCAATTTAGCAGATGGAAACCTAAAGGACCAGGGAAAGATAACATGACTGGCCCAAAGTCACACAGTATTATCCTGAATCCCTGCTTCTCCCAAAAGATGTTTCTGCCCATTCTATCCCACACTGATTTCTCAGTTCTCAGAGTTCCTCTGGCACTTGTCTTTGTCTTACTCACCCCCTTAAACTTGTGCAATACATTTCCTCTGTGTTCTCTGTCTTATGTGCAAAATGAACTCCTGCCTCCTTATAGCCAATCTCTCACCAAGTTCATTTGATTTTCTTCTTTCTGTCAAATCTATCTTCCTTCCTCATCCTCTGTTACCACCCTGCTCCAGCCTCAACATCCATTGATGATGAATGACCCCAAATCACACTCCCTGTCTTCTAAACCAGCCATCTTCAAATATGTTGCACACCTGCAGTGAGAGGGCATCAACCCAAAAGCCAACATATTCTTCCCTCCTATGACACTAAAGGTTTAACTCCTTCTTTGATAGTTAATGTTATTCAAAGTGCTAGCCCCTGCCTAACTTCTCAAACCTTAGCTCTTACCACTCGACTTCACATAGTATGCTCTGACCACTGAACTAACTATAAGTGCTTCCTAGTATGGCCGGGGGGTTCACTTTTCTGGGTATTTCTGCAATGTCTTCTGTATAAAAGTATCTTAACACTGGTTCCCCCAACCCAATGAACTCAGCTGTTCAAGCTCGACTTCATCCTTGCAGCCCACCTTGATTCCCAAGTTAGACCTAATTCTGTCCTCTGGGCACCCACACCTCCTAAAGTTTCCCTTTGTCCCTGAATCATGTGGACCTGATGGCTGGGGTACTCTGTCCTATCAGATTGGAAGCTCCTTAAGGGCAGGGACTCTGTCTCTAGCAAAACCCAGCAGCATGGCCCATCCCAGATGAAATGTTCATAAAAATTCATTGAATAAATCTAAGTGCATGAATAGTTGATTAATGAATGAAATTGGGGTTCAGGCCCATACCTCTAACCCCAGCAACTTGGGAAGCTGAGACAGGAAAATGGCAAGTTTGAGGAAATTTAGCAATACCCTGTGTCAAACTGAAAATTCAAAAGGGCTGGGGATGTAGCTCAGTGGTAGAGCACCACTGTACAGAGAGGGGAGGGGGAGCAAAACGAAATTTGGGTTGGGTTCTGTGATTGCACATTCTTGCCCCAAAAAGGCATAAAAGACATCACTTGTTGCCTGACATCTCCCCTCTGCCCAGAGGCATGGTTTATAGGGAGGAGTCGTGACTTGAATCAGCTGATGCAGGGTATGGCTGCCCAGCAGTCCAGATCAGCCAGGTTGTGACCAATGATGCTGCGAGGTGGGGAGGGATGGAAAATAAAGGGATGCACTGTGTTATGTGCTATTATTTTTCCTCCTCTTGTAGGTAAGGAAACAGGCACAGGATGACTTGCCAAAACCATACAGGTGTGGTGAAACTCCAACACTGATCCCAGTGACTCAAGAGGCTAAGACAGGAGGATCTCAAGTTTGAGGCCAGCTTGAGCAACTTAGCAAGACTATCTCAAAATAAAAAATAAAATTAAGGTCTGGGGATGTAGCTCAATGTTAAAGCACCCCTGGGTTCCATCCTCGATATTGCAAAGAAAAAAAAAAAAAACAGGAAAAAGGAAACTTGAATGAGCTAACGATGATAATATGTCTGAGCCATGGAGCATGAATAACTTCACCCTTTGCCCAG